CGCAAACCGCAGGTGCGGCTCAGGTCAAGACAGGAATTCTTTACTTGCAGAGTGGTGAACGCGTGGAATGCGTTAGATGACGAAGTTGTGGCTGCCCCTTCTGTGACTATCTTTAAGAAGAAACTAGATGCTTTCATGGACAGGCAAATAGGTGGGGGGCAATGTTGACGTTAGGTACTAGACAGTAAGCAACTAGGATAGTCAAAAAAACAAACAAACAAAAATATTAAAATACTGTATTTAGCTTTAAGAGGGTTAGGCCTACCCTAAAATTAAGGAACGCTCGACCTCGACACGTGATATCGAAATGGGCGAAATCGCCTCTTGATGTCACTATCTTGACTCTTGACTGTCTATTGGCGTTAGCCTAATCTCATGTCAAAGAAGGCCTTAAATGCTAGCTAATAATATTAACGCTAAAATATTAAAGTAAGAATTATTTCCGATTCTGTGGACTAGACGTAGTCAAATCATGTTCGTGATTTATATCATGTGGTTTACTCATGCCTCTGGGTTTGCTCGAGCAGCCATGTATGACTACCCAATGGTGGATGCCTCATTTTCATCAGCTATTTCTGAATAAACTTTCATATTTACAATTAATTGTGGAAATTTCGACAATGAAAGAAGATTAAAGATGGAAAATACTAAAGAGTTTTACTTGGAAACGGACAAATTTCATGAAGCTAAGAATTTTTGAGCCAAACGCGAAGCATAAGAAAGCCCGTCCATCGCAACCGTGAAGCGAGCCTTCCTTTTCGTGTAGTGCCTCGGTGGTTTGAGGTTACGTACAGGTTGCTCCTATTGTGGAAAAGTCGCATTCTGCGTGTCACGTAAGTGATTAGCTGCTTTATTGTGTTTGTAATGATCGTACAGGTATTAGAGTGAATATAGATTGAGTTCCTTCTTTTTTCGATTCATTTGACTGCGTTGGAAGAGGGACTACCAGGAAGAGGTAGGCCCTAGTCGTATCGTAGAAACTTGATTTAGCTACCGGCTGTATATCCGTGACTGCCTATGTTCTCATATCCAGGGCAAATCCCCTCCACCATGCCTTGGATTTTCAGAGCCCTGCTCCCTGAGAGTCTTTAACTCTTTGAAAGTTGAAGTGTTATCAAGATTTGACCTTTGAGTCATAAACTAGGGCTGCCAGCTCTTGCTATCAAAGGGGCTGCAACAATTGGGATATGAAGAGAATAGTAGCTTTGCTGCTTTGGACAGTAGTCAACCCTCTATATACTACCACTTGGTATGCCACCTTTAAAATTAACTAAATATGGACAAATATTTCAAGTACACACATAATTGTGGCTCTGCTGAAAATACCTACAGCCACCTTTAGCCAAGGCACCAATCAATACTATAAGAGTTTGGTCTACTACTCTCGACTCACATGACTGACTACACTAAGAATGGTTTTTGCTGCTATTAAGCTTTCTTAACAAGAAAAATCTGAATGTTCAAAGTTTGGATGAAGCAGTGTCCATATTAAGACAAGTTTGCAGTATGGACATTGGACCTGAAATATGTACTGTCCAGAGTAATTATGAATGGGTGGCAACCCTAGCCGCCACCCTTGCATATCACATACTCTATCCTAAGAACAATTCTCCATAAGTTTATTACAGGTGATCTCCCATTATTGGTGACTCCATTATTGTGCCACCCTTGCAAGCAAACATCTGCAGGCACCATAATTTGTACGATCACCCTTTTTCACACATAAATCCTCCTTGATTTTGTGCCCAGTAGCATACATACTGAATCTTGATTCAGTACTACGCACACCTATACATGTGTTGCCACCATCAGATGTGAGTCATAGATGTGGAAAGGATATTGCATTGGGCAAGTGTAGAGTATTAGAAGGGAATAAGGATGGCAATTGATGATTCACATTCTTTTAGTCAATCTGTCCTTGGGAGATTTTGGCATTGTAGCCATATACTGTGGTTCATTTGATATTGTGCCAAAAATCAGTGACAAGCAACAGTGGCCTTATATTAAAGATTGACTAGCTGATATGTTTGGAATTGATGCAATACTAATGCAGGTGGGGAATTACTTGTCTTGTGCATCCCTGTAGGGCATTGTACTTCCACATCAAGTGCATACCTTCCCTACCTGGCTGGGTGCATACACATCATGCACATTGCATTTCCCTTATTCCTTTCATCAACTAAATGTTAAACACATCTCTGTGAAATCAATGTAATCTTGCAGTTGCTCAGGTTAGATTAGGTGGGCACCTGATCTTTCATTCCTAAAGTTGGACAGACACAGCCATGTAAGCAAGACAGATGCCATGTTTCCCTGTCTTATGGCTTGAGTAAGAGAGGGGTGGGAGTGGTCATAGCATAACATATGCTAAAGTATCAGTGCCTTACTGATGATGAAACTCTTTGCACTCTCACCAATTGGAGTTATATACCTATGCTTTGTCACTCTTCCCTTAGATGGGGGGGGGGGGGGGGGGGATATACAACAAGCACTTATTTTGAGAACCTTTTGCACTGTACATCAATATCTCTTCATGGTCTTGATACTGTTTTCACTCTTATGTATACTCTAGGCCTATTTGAATAGGTAATAACCTGAACTATGAGGGCCATGTATTGATGCATGGGACATACATCTTACTTCTCACAGTATTGATGCATGGGACATGCATTAATACTGTGAGAAGTAAGAAAGAAGTACTCAATTCTCTCCTCAGTCACTCAAATAGTCATGATCAAATAATTAGGAAAAAGCAGATGTGGCTCAAGTTTTATGATATGTGGTGCCTTACAGAAGGGTGGTAGATGGGTTGTGTCAATTTAAAAACACTAGTCCTAATTTCAAATTGGTGTCTGTCTTTAAGGTTTGGGTTTGGGACTTATCTAAGGTAATAGAGACTAATAAAAAATTTTCTTCTTCAACTTGCTGAATCAAGATTTACCCCTCAAGCTGATACTTAAATTGGTAACTGCCTGTGGCAAAGAAAATGCTGTCTTCACATTTTCCTTCCCTTTTCTTTTGCAGGTCATTCCCTTCTGAGGAATTGTGTTACTGTTATACCAAGCAGCCTGTTTGAAGCATAAAAATGGTGGCCCAGAAGAAGCAGGTATGTGACATTTAAAAATTTTATAATTTACTATTACTTTGTCCACCTTTATTGACATGCATATCTGAGAGTGGTATCTATAAAATATTCTGTGGAAGACAAACTGACATTTGTTCCATGGTAAAAAAATCTTAAATTGTTCTAATCAAAACTGCTCTACCTTAAGGTACCTTAAGGTTACAGCTCAATTATGGAGAGAGACATGGCCTAGCATTGATTAATTCTCAGCTTGTGCCAGTGCTGCCAAATAAGCATCCCTATTAAAGGTCTTTTTCTTGTTTGTTGAGCAGAAGAAGGCCATGGAGAGCATCAACTCCCGGCTTGCCCTTGTGATGAAGTCTGGAAAGTTTGTATTAGGGTACAAACAAACCTTGAAGACTTTGAGACAAGGGAAAGCCAAGCTTATCATTTTGGCCAACAATACCCCACCTCTCAGGTATAGTGTTTATTCTTTCCCTTGTGATGATTACATGTTGAATTCTTTATTTATATCATGGAGTGTTTCTGGATAAGTTTTTGTACTTTTATAGTGGACCTAGCTTAACCATCAACTCAACTCTCTTGACATTTTATAAGCATGATTTAAGGTGTTAGCTTACAGGTGCCAATAGCCCCTAATGATACAATATCTTTAATTCCATTAAGGAAATGTTATATCTGCCTGTAGAGCCTTGGAATACTATGGATTCAATATTAACCTAATATTTTACTGGAATCCATTAGAACACAAGGAAATAGTGTTCTCACAATTTGACACACTTAATGAAAGCATTTGTTGCATCTATGTTCCTTTTGCTGTGCCTCATACTCCTGAGTGGATTTGGGAAAATAATTGTAAATATGTCATTCATTGGCAAATTTTAAAGTTCACATGGCCTATTGTCTCAAGTCAATTGCTTGTCTAATGTCATGGTTATGGAGAAAAAAAAAAAAAACAAATTATTTTATTTATACTAAATAAAATGGCAGAACATTGGCTGTATTATTGGATCTGTGGGATGTACATATAGCAAATTCAACAAGAATTGTTAGTAGCTTCTCATCTCTCACCCTGGGCAATTATTAACAAATTTATGCATTTGTATCTTAGTGAAATGGGTCTATGTTTATGAGTGTGCCCTGTGGGGTGCAGGTTGCCAATAGTCAAGCAACATGCTTTCATTAAAATTTAGGCATTTTAATATTAATTCCCCTAATCCTCATTGAATACCCAGTGTTCTGGATAGTTTTAGTGGGAATGAAATGATTGTCGTGGAAGTCTGAATGCATTCCTATGTGTATTTGTTTCCAGGAAGAGTGAGATAGAATATTATGCAATGCTGGCCAAGACAGGTGTCCACCATTATTCTGGAAACAACATCGAGCTGGGCACAGCATGTGGGAAGTACTTTCGAGTGTGCACGCTTGGTATCACGGACCCTGGAGACTCTGACATCATTCGATCTATGCCATCTGCTGAAGGCACAGCATGAATGCTGATGAGTATTTGTTGGCCCCATGAATATTCCTGTGAAATTCTATTCATGCTTGTCTCCAAATAAATCTGGGAACGTCGAAAGCTTGTCATTTTTAGGGGTTCATTTCCAATCACTTTTTCCTTGACACTGTCCAGTTACTTCAATGCATCAGTTTATCTTAAACAGGAAATCATTTTTTGCATTGCATCCTGTGAGACATGTATATGGAATAGCTATTAAAACAATAGAGACAGTCTATTGAACAATTCTTAATATGGACCTATTATTGTTTCTTAACCCAGAAACAAAACAGATTGGTGTTGCCCATGTGTGGCATCAGATGAGGAACAGTTATGCATTGAATGCTCTCATTAAAGCTTTCATGTTTCAATGATGTCTTCTAATGTGCCACACAAGAGTTACTCTGTGAATCAATACCTTTTAGAATATTTTGATTCTTTTTAGGTCTTCTAAATGAGATGTGGAGAGTGAAAGTACAAATGGGCATGACTTTTTTTTTAAGAGAGGCAGTAGTGGCATTTCCAAATTTTATGTACAAGGTGATTATAAAGAAAGTTTTGCACTACACTGCACCATATCTCACAAACAGTATGGCATTGGAATGTGAAACATGCTTTTCGTGTGTCTTTCTCCACCAAGCACCAGACATAAAGGGCCATATGTATGGGCTGCAAGTGGCACAGTGCTGGCACTTATACGATGCCCATTTCTATTGAAAAAGAGGTGAAGCCATGCTAATGCATTGACTGCAGCAGTACTGAAGTACTTCTCCAAACCAAACACTTTGAAGATTTTGATGAGTAAAATTAACAATCTTTAGAAGTAGCGCTTGAATCGACACTACCATTTAATAATTATTGAAATTAAGATTTTCTGAAATAACCATATGAAGTGCATCTTTCACTCAGGTCCATTCGATTTATTCTGTTACAGGACATTGCTGCCGTCTGGTGAGTGAATAAATATTCTGCCAGAAGCCATATTTCATGAGCACGAAAGCTACTGTCTCCACTTTGGACATTGACACACTTCCGTAGAACGTGATAAAAGTCACTAGTAAAGTGATAATTATCTATAAATGAGCACATTATCCAAAGCATGCAAATTATAGATTTACGTGGTGTTGAAAAGTGATTATTATTGCAGCACAGCTTCTTCATCTTTCCAGGAACAGCAGAGAATGCCTAAGTACACTTCACGCATGCAAAAAGCGTTCATATCCAATGTTTGATGAGCTTTCAGGTAATTCTGCGTATATCTGCCCGATTTGCTGAGCTTAAAAAAAAAATGTGCCCCGGGAATTTTAGGATTTTTCCCGAACTCAGTACACAAACAGCTACTTGTGTACCAAGATTCATCCATCACATCTAGAACATGGTTATAATTAACACCAGTGGCTCACTCACGATCGTTTATATATCATAGATTATCAGCTCGTCGGAGAAAGAGGTTGTCATTTGATGACCTAAAACAGCGGTTCTCAAGCCGCTTGCGACACAGGCCGGCATGGCTGCGGAGGGCTTCTCACCTTGACAGCACGAGATGGCGACACTACTCCCGGAGCCATGGATCTTTCCCTGGGATTCGTGGTAAGCTGCTTCCCTGGAATCCAAGGCGACTGTGCCTATCGCCGTTCCAAATCCTTGTTCAGTCGATCTCTACCGTTGGTGTGTCGTGAGGTGGGCACATCGCGCGGGTACCGTGTTTTCTCCGTTCGTACGGATTGCAAGGCTCGATACCATGCAGCGGTGTCCAACTCAATTTGGCGGGGATCAAATGATTTGGTTCAGGTGTGTTTGGGGGTATTACTAACGAATCTCACAACACGTGTACCACATTTTTAATGCGAACAAGTGAAATTGGCAGCAATTTTCCGAAGTCAAATGTTAAAGAGGAGTTCGCAGGGCGGAGAAAATGAATTGGCGGGTCGGATCCGGCCCGCGGGCCGCCAGTTGGACACCTGCCATAAAGCTTTCGGATCTAATGAAATATCTCACTGAAATAGAACGTGCCTCTTGCGCTCCTTACGGCTCTTGATCAGTTGTGCTGTGTTCCATGGTGTTGAAGTCATACTATTGTCCTGTGATGGATTCTTTTCTGTACCGTAAAATGGAGTGACTCGATAGGCAACTTAGATATTCAACGTTTTTGGCTGCCAACTTTTTTTTATTAACGTCAGAATAAAGTGAATTCCTATCAATCCACAGGTGATCGCACTGTGTGCAAAAATAAAAATCTGGTTATAAGTTAATTATTTACAAATGATTATAAGTTTTCGAAATTCCCAGTTTTAGCTTTTTTTTGGAGAAGGAAAACAACTTCGGTCAGACAGAACTTTCGAACCATTTAACCCTTGAACACGAATGCACACTTTGTTCACGATTATATGCGCATAAATAATGATATTTTTCTGAAGCCTAATACGAATGCATAAATTATTAAAAACAAAATACTAACGACACCCCGCTCTCGACTTGATACACCTACTGCAGTACCGATATTGCCTGCTCCGTCGCGCTGCATTCCGATGCCTCGCGCTCGCCAGAGACAAGTCGGCTCTCATCAGTCGCACGCGGAAGACAGCCCCTCAGGAGAGGCCGTCAAGGCTGACCCGTCGATGCGGCAAGCCAGTCGGTTCTAAGAGGTGCTTCTTCCGGAACTCCGTTGGGGAGCTCTACCGTTTTTCTCTCTTTCTTTGTGGAGGCTTTCTTGTGGTTCTCGATTGAATAGGTTAGAGTCTCTTGCGAGTCCTATTAAATGCCAGACTGAAAAAGCCTCCACATTATCGTTAAACGTACATCTTACCTTAAGTCACCCTTCAGAATCTTGGAAACGAGCCTAAATGCGAAAAGTACGAGTGTGTTAAGGCTCTTCCTTTTGAATAACTTGATACGCCCAATTAATGAATTACTGAGCCAATAATTGGACGTGAAATTTTTCACTCTCCAGAGAACTTGAGAAGGGTGCTCCTAGATACAGATGTATGAATAAATGTTAAAAGTGAAGTTAGTCCATTACTATGGTTGTTAGGTAACGTTTTCTCCAAACACCAGAGAAAGTTCCTCGAACGACCAAGCGAAAATTCAACGGAAAATGGTCATGCCGGTTATAAAACAGGACAAAAAGCATATCATGGAAATGCAAACCGAGTTGAAAGTCAAATTACGGAAATAACGCGTAAGCTATCTTTACTTCGGCTTCTATGTTATCTCACAAGTTGGTGGCATGACTCGTCTGGGGTGTGTATGATAGAGTGTTATCGGCGTCCGTGGTTCCCAGTCAATAGGAGCGACGTTTGGAAAGCAAAACCCTCCCAGCAAAACGAGAAGCGTTAAAGTGATCGCTCTGATAGTGATAGTGAATTATAAATCTTGACTGATTTCAGCGGCACCGGACTTAGGAATTTTCATTTACTCCTGTGTTAATTAGATCTGGCGGTCCACGGGACCGTGCAGGGTTGCCCAAAGAAGGATGCCGTGAGTGAAGAAAGGTCAAGAACCACTGGTCTAGTAGGTATGGATCATTCTTCCTTTTCCCTAGAGGTTTCTGAAAGCATTCTGACTGGTGGCTACTTGAGTGTTTCTCGTTTGACTTGGACACTCGTCCACAGGGAACAACATCCTACGCATGTGTCCGAGTCATCCAAACAAAATTTCTGACTCGAATGAAAACACAGAACTACGGTTCTCAATTGGTGGATTATAACCCATAAGATGCTTGAATTTTGAATAGTAGTGCGAGGTATTTAAAAAAGAACTGTGGGAGCTACTGCTCTAGATCATAGCATTTGCAGAAAGCCAAGGGAAGGAAGGTTTTATTGTGGCACGGGAGATGGTAGAGGCCGTGTGCCTTCCTGGACCGTGATGAGATGAGCTTTGGTTGAGTGGGTATCTCCCATTTATTGGTCACGAAAGCTTGGCCACCATGACAACTTTCAATGTAATTTATGTTTCATCTCATTAGTATTCATATTCCTTTCAAATTCAAGGGAATTTTCAAGCGAAGGAAGTAAAGTAGACAGTCGAGGTAGAATAAATGAACCAGTCTTCGAAAGACACAGGATCTTCCTTAGAAATCTCGCTTCGATCGTATCTAATTCAATGAGATGGTTCAGGGTCAGCGGTGTACCCAAAGCACGTAGCCGGTACAAGGCGATCAGTTTGATCTTCATATGAAAAACGGTTGTGGCCATGGAAATGTAGCAGTCGTGGAAGCTTCCTTTGACACCGCAGCAGAGTGTGGTCACTCTATGTGGCTGGTCAGGGTGAAGTCTGAAGAGCGATCCTGATACATTTGTGCAGACACAGGACTCTAATACAATTAAGTGGGACTGTTATTCTAAATGTGGATCGGGGTATGCAGAAATGGGTGCTTATGAGCCACAGAAATCCAAGTGAGTTTCTTCCTTTTTTAGAATGAAGACATTAAACAATACAACGATGCATATGGTGATGCAAATGGGTCCTTTGCTTCATAGGGCTGAGCTTATGGTAATGGTTCCATCATGGTCACCATACTGAGTTGCCCCAACATAGTGAAAAGCCAAAATATACATGTGGAAAATGTACCTAAATCCCTAAATCATATTCAACTTATGCTCAACGGTAAAAAGTCTCCATAATCTTAGATATTGCTATGGCTTCAGCTCCCTCTCCTCTGTCAACTTGATGATGATAAATATATCATCATCAAGTTGACATGCCTTCCCAAGATAAAGCTTACCTTGACTTTTTGGAATATCAATTTTAATGAAGTAAGCCTGTCCTGCAGTTGCCAAATGCTTTGGGTTACTCATGAAACTCCCATGAAACAGACTTCAAGCAATGGGCACAAAATGCAATATGGCAGAATAAAGGCAAAAAAACTCCATCCTAGTGCATGATAAGCATGGGTATCTGTGTAGTATGACCAGACACGAGAACAAAAGGCACAGTTCCAGTCAGGACTGGGTTGGCAAGTGTCAGCAAATGAATACATATATAGGCCTATGGTTTACCTCCAATTTTGGATATTGTTCAACTGCATTTTGGGAGAGTCTGAATGAAATAACCATTTCATTTGCTCTCAAGGGGCTTGGCAAGTCAGGTCCTTGGGGCTTCACTTCCTGAAATATTTTTTGTCTCTATTTATTGACAGGTTCTGATTTATGAAACCCATTTCAACTGAGCTCTTGCTCAAATTTCTGGATTCTGTGCACTATTGCAATGTCTGGAGATATACAGTAGAATACAATTTGTGACTTATTCAATCGATTTAAGGACAATTTCAAGCAAAAGTTTTTGGCTATTAGGGTTTCTTAATTGTTTGACAGCAGAGAGAATTCCATGAGAATGCCATCTTTCATATCCTTCCCTCTTCCTCAGGAATCATCTGAATCTCTTGGAGCAAGAAAGAAAGCTATTTTTGAATGGCAAATGACTTCATTACAGAAAAGAGGTACTGAGAAAACATAACTCAAGATAGCTATGTCCACAGCAACTAGGAACTCCAAAATGCACTTTTTAATGGACAAATGCATATTCCAAAAGGGAGGTTAGCAATTGCACAGGATGAAATTGTACTTGAATGTGGATCAGAGTTGGACCAGGAAGTCATCAACAGGTCTTAGAGATTCAGCCTTATCGATTGAGATTGGCACACCACATTGGAAGTTCAAAAGTCCTCTCTGTAGTCTTCAGTATATCAGGAATGTTCAACAACTGTAAATGCCTTGCATAATGATGATGAAACTAAGAGCCATTATAGGAACTAATTGTCTGCCAAAGAGCATGATTTAAGAAAAGATTACACATGGCCATAAATTTTCATGATTCTTGCAGAGCCAGACAAGACTCCCCAATTTAACATTACACAGCAAGCTACATTGTAGCTGAAATTCTAAGAAAAAAGACAACATCAACAATGCTTGACCACAACCAGATCCCTTCATGGAAGAACAGTAAATGGCAGCTGGATGGAGAAAGTTGTCAGCAAGAAGTACCAAGTGACAGAGCCACAGCTGCATGAGTCATGTTCCTCATTACATGAATCTACATCTTCCTCCTCAACATTTCAGAAATGGCTTCCATGAAGTCCTCTGTATAGAGATACATGCCATCTTTAACATTCTTCAAGCCACCATGGATGCAGCCTGCAAGATCCTTGGTCATGCTCCCACTATCCACTGTATCCACACAGGCAGTCTCAAGCTGCTGACAGAATCTATGAGAACAAATGAATGATTCATGTGAGTGATTATTAAGACATTTCACATGTCATGCTAAAATTATAGTAACTTTAAGTGATCTTCCAATGAAACCTTAATTACTATACCTGGCAAGCTCCTTATTGTCATCAAGCTTGGCTCTATGAGCAAGTCCCTGTGTCCAGGCAAAGATGGAAGCAATGGGATTTGTTGATGTTTTCTGTCCCTTCTGGTGCAGCCTGTAATGTCTTGTCACTGTTCCATGTGCAGCCTCACTCTCGATAGTCTTCCCATCAGGGCATATCAGAACAGATGTCATCAAACCAAGGGACCCTAAGAGCATGACAAAATCCCTTATAAATTAAATCACACTGTTTATTTTTGAACCTGAGTCAGACATTTTTTCACTTGACACCTGAGTGTGGGAAGTATCCCATTGCAAGAGTGCATTGAGTGACTATCTGACTCAAGATATAAAAAAAACACTGCAAGATGCTAAGGACACTATTGGAGAAGAATACAAACCATATCCCTGAGCAATAATATCACTCTGAACATCCCCATCATAATTCTTGCATGCCCAGACGAATGCTCCATTGCTCTTCAGAGCCTGAGCCACCATGTCATCAATCAGCCTGTGCTCATACCAAATTCCCAACTTCTCAAATTCAGCTTTATAATTCCTGAAACAATGAAAGTTGAGGCTCTCTTAATTCAGTTATTTGGTTACAATCATTATGTATAACAGCCAGACTGTCTCACTTCTCATAGATTTCTTGGAAGATATCCTTGAAGCGTCCATCATATCTCTTGAGGATTGTGTTTTTTGTGCTCATGTACAATGGCCACTTCTTCTTAATTGCCATCTGGATATTGCAAAAGCAACAACATAAGTATTTAGGCACTATTTAGAAATATCCATAGCATAACACTCATTTCATGTGAAAATGTCAAGTACCTGGAAAGAGGAGTGGGCAAAGTCCTGAATGGACTTGTCTGTGTTGTACATGCCCATGACCACACCACCACCTCCTTTGAAGTTAAAAATTTCATAATGCTGTGGGCTCCCACCCTCAGGGGAGTACACGAGCTCCACCTTTCAAAACAGATGTCCAAATGCTATTCAAAATCATGATTCATCAATGGGTACCTATCCAAAGGTCCAAATTGGCCCTACTTTGCCTGGCTTGGGGCAAACGATGTCAGTGGCCTTATACTGGTCACCGTGGGCATGTCTCCCAATCACAATGGAATTGGTCCAGCCTGGTACGAGGCGGGGTATGCTCTTGCAGATGATTGGCTCTCGAAAAACAGTCCCTCCGAGGATGTTCCTGATCGTCCCATTTGGACTCAACCACATCTTCTTTAGATTGAATTCTGCCGTACACATAAAAATTTGCGATGACTCAGAGTTAACTTTGTAGTGAAAATATCATGAACTCCCCATGCAAAGACGAATCTCACCTTTGACCCGTTCTTCATCAGGAGTGATGGTGGCACACTTGATTCCAACATGGTGCTTCAAAATGGCATGAGCACAGTCAATGGTCACTTGGTCGTTTGTGGCATCACGGTTAGGCAGCCCCAAGTCATAGTATAGGCATTCCACCTTTTGGAAAAATTTCAAAAACAGATATTAATCCAAGTTCCTCCTATTTACCTTCCTACAAGAATCAAAGCCTTGCACACCTTGAGGTAGGGGAAAATGAGTTTATCTTTGATCATTTGCCAGATGACTCTGGTCATTTCATCCCCATCCAATTCCACGACGGGCTTGTCCACCGCGATCCTTTTCCCCGCAGCATCTGTTAGCAAATAACAAAAGGCAAATTCCACTCATAACCTTGTATGGTATGTTTAGGGTTACCATATTTCGCAAAGTCAAAAAGCCTAGCCTAGCAGTAGGACGGAAATTTGAGGGTGAAAAAGGACACGTCCGGGAAAAACCGGACGTATGGTAACACTGTTAAAATAACTACAGAAGTGCTACAAAAACTCTTTTTGTTTCAGCACATAGCAGCATATGTAGATCGAAAAAGGTGACCACGGAGCAGGTCCGGGGAAAATAGTCAGCGAAACATTTTTTAAAACAGGAGATAGAAAATATATTGCATCCCGCTCTTGCCGAATCCGCTTCATTCCTCTACCAATATTCCACTCCATATTACTAAATAATGACAATCCCATAAACGCAATATTATAAAATAGATATGGTGCCTGGTAGGGCAAAAGCATTCATATCTCAGTATTCTCTCTTTTTTTTTTACGAGTTTCATTCAGAAAATTCTCAAACAATGTGACGTAAACTAAGTCATCATGCCTAGGACTTGTGCATCTAACAGAGCATACGCTATGAACGAATGTACGTTATGTAACTTAACGGAGGTTAAGAAAATCCTAGACGCCCTTCTCCAAGCAGAAAGCCGCACGTAAACGTCGTCGGCATATTTCTATATTTCTCAAGCAAATGTCGTGACCGCGCGCGTGCGATCCCGCCGATCGAGTATTTGCCATGCCAGTGCCTGGCAACGGGGAGCCCTCTGCAAATGTCGTTGGGGTCGAGGAGCTCAGTGACCCGTGCAAGACTCAGCGCGCTCTCTCGAGTTTGGTATGAAGCACAGAGCACGCGAGACGAGATGAGCTCTGCAATATCGAAATGAGAATTCGGTTGCAATTCAGTCTTAGTAAAGCTGCAAGTCTTTTCATGGTCCCAATTTCGTCGTTGGCTGTTGCAGTGAACTGGAACTGCAATGTGGCAACAAGAGATGTAACCACTTAGCCAGCATGACTGTAGTACTATAGTTGGCCAATTCTTACCACCTACTTAGTTGTGCTCGTTTTCCATTTTTCAGATTTTTGTGATTTTACAATATGGCTTGTTCCATGCTGGATTATTCAGGAGGAGCGGCACTTTGACCGCATTCGAGCTATCAATTTTCGAGAGGCTCGTGATGCGGGTAAACGGCATCACGGGTCTGTTCGTGCAGCACCTTCTCTGTATCATTTTTTTTTAATAAGCCAAATGGTATTATATTTTTAAGGCGGGGGGGAGGAAGCATCTCTACTGGTCAGGAGAGTGCATCTATTATTGCCACCCCATACTTGGAGTCATTAAAAAGTACTCAACACCTTTGTTCCCTGAGACGGCGAGCTCGTTCATGCAAGTTCTGCATCACGTCTACAAGTAAATTTTTTTTCCTACATTCCCAGAGAACCCAAAGAAAATGAAGCAGGATGAGCAACGACTTGCTGGTAGCAGGGCTGAAGGTACTTCACAAAAGTATTTGGACAAACTTCAAAGATATTCAGCAGGAAAAGTATTCGAGATAACGATATACTTGCATAAAACGTAAATATTTACGATACACTTACTACATACAATTACTTCGAGATGAGTACACACCTCCGACGATTCACCACGCGCGCTTGAGCTCGACCGGTTCGTCGTCTCATCAGAGCCATGCATGTGCCTGACGGGACACACCCGACATCTATCGTACCATGAAGGAAATGGCGGTTCTGCTAGCGATAGTAGCTCCACGTGGAACAACGGTTTCCATAATGGAAGGTGTGTGAATTCGTTTTGAAGTCACTGTGCAGATAAGAATCGTTACTCGATAGATACACATTACCCGCTTTAGTAATGGGGGGGGGGGGGAGTGAAGGAAAATGAGAGGTTTCTGCTGACTCCTGCAAAGGGCATTATATGGATGTCGAACCTCATGACTTAGGGCAATGTCCCTATTTTTTTGGGGAAGCTTTTAGGTTTCCTCGTGATAGTGATGAAAGAGTATAAAGAATTGCTCCATTCCAGAGAACGCGGACTTTTTTTTATCACCCAGTAGAAAAGGACCGTGCAAGAATTGAGATTCATTCTCACATTTGCTATTGGTCTGCCGTCAAATCCCAGCTGCTGTTGGCGCTCGTTTCGTTCACAGAGGTCCAACTCAATTATCACTATTCGCGACATGTGTCAAAAAGGCTGCAAAACGAGACAAAGCTTGAAAAGAAAGTACCTGACAGAACTATAACAGAACCTTCGCCAGACGTGAACTAAACGGCAATCGATGTCGAGTCAGAATCTGTCAACTGAGGCCAGGCGAAACTAAAGTTCTCGCATGCTTGCGTCGACAGCTGTGGCAATCGAACTTAAACTGTGTATTTGGACGAAGACTGAAGCCGAATTAGAGCGCCAGCAGACCTTCGATTTTGAAATCAGCCAAAAACATTCCGGCGGTGACTGGGTTTAGTGCGAGACGAGACGACGTTACCGCACGCAGCCCGGAAGAAACGGGGCCCGACCGCGAAGCGTCACGGGTGCCATCCATGCAACGACGAGCACAATGGAGCTTTTCCCCCGGTTTTTCTACTCCGAGACGCGACCGTACGCTCCCCGACTCCGAGGGAAACGATTCGGATGCGGATTGATTCGTCTCCAGACAAGGGAGAACCGGTTCCACCCTTTGCTTCATCACCTGAGACGAGCCTCCCTCGTACCAATCGTCAATCACTCAAAGCCTCACAGCTCCTCGGCCGTCCATGTTCAAGATAAGGATGTAGGTCTTAATGGGTGAAATACTGCACGATGCTTTCTCCGAAATTGATATCGTTCATTATTGGAACAAGATGCAATGTTGTGGAGCAATATATCCAGCTCGTAAATCAGTTCCGTTTCATCAGTATGAAATGCATTTAAATTCACGGAAAATTCCACATATCCTGACGACTGTAAAGAGGACTTCCAGACTTTCAGTATCGCTCGCATGAACATTCCTTACTTAGAGACTTCTGGTGAGTCAATAAGTGATTCCCGAGTTTAGATCCGCCTTCTACGCAGTTTTCAGTGCAGTCGATCTGAAATCATCATCCTCTTTACATTACTTGAGGTTAGTCATGGGACTCGTGACGCAACGGATGTAGCAGCAGGTGACCCCAAGGACTGGCATACCAATGCGTCTTCCTCAAGCAAACCGATCGCCATAAGCCTACATCTCAGGGCAGCACCCAACCTCCTTATTATGGACTTAAATGATCCATTTAAGTCCAGCTCTTCTCCCTGTTAGCCTGCTATGGGGCTTTCAATGTCCTTTTACCTAAGTTTGTTTACTTAAAGTGCTTTAACTTTCGTAGGATTTCTTGATTTCATTACGTAAGGATCGTATCTCGGATGGTGGTAACGGAGCCGTTGGACACTAAAGTCTATCACTCTAAGACTATTGAATGAATATAAAATATAGCCCATAGTGCGAGAAGGAATCAATCATGAGGAGCTAAACGTTTCGAGCCCCATAGTTCAATATGCAATGACTGATGTCTCCTTCACAACGCAGCAGCCCAATCTAGCCAAGTGACTGGACTTATTCAGTGTGAAGGTATCAGGCATTGCATGTTGAGCCACGGAGCTTTAAACGTTTTGACTGGAATATTCGTGACTCGACTAGACTAGACTGATCCAGTGTGTGGACAACTCGAGGGTGCAGCTAGCGGCAGAAGACTTGCGTATCAGGGTTATAACTAGGCTACGTGACTGTGGCTCCAAAGGGCCAAGAAAAAATTAAGCCCGAGGGCTTTCCTCCATGAAGCCAGCTGATCCTGGTGCTTCTTGGCTTTTAACGACGCAGGCGCCGTCTCGCGTTGTGGGACGATGACGTCATCATAAGATTGTGGAAGGAATGTGAAGCTATTTTTGCCACCCTTCTTGCTCCCCTTCCCTTGGCACTTTTGCCAATACCATGCCATCGTACCGCATCCTGAATTCTGCTGTTGTCAAGACTGGTCTCCAATATAGTTATTCAAAATTAAGAAGAAAAGTCACCACGATAGTCATTCAAAATAAAAAAAAGGAAAGTCATTTAGATGCTTCTTATAAATGAATGAATATTCTCTGGAAATGCGTTAACGTCTCCTCAAATCAAGGTGTATGAAAAAGATAGTTCCAGTAATGCGACGGAACTGGAGAAAATAACCCATATTTTAGTTTTCCCCCTCCATTTTTTTCTTGTAATGCTGGATGGTCTTCCACAGACTGATTCTTGACCCCAGGCCAGTCCGCAAGAACCGAAACGGAGGAGTACGTGCAGTATGACATCCAGGCGTCCCTTCAAGGACGTGCCTGTTACACGTGGATATCGATTAGCGCTAGGAAGCAGTCGCGCCGCATCGACCTAGACGGCGCACGAAGTGACAGGAAGCTCATGGCAGCATTCTCCTTTCGACTCTTCCCACGCTCGGCACTTCCTCCCCCCAGGAAATAAATCTCATTTCGAGCACAGATTACAAAACAGGGACCTGGGGTAGCATTCGATTAAAATATTAGATTTGAGTAAAGCAAATTGTTCAACTTCGGCCATACATTAGAATGGGGCAAGTACCAGCTAAGCACCTTGCTAAGAGGGAATTGCACTTGAGAAAATGATAGAAATCGGCCCCTGTTCCACAGATTTACAAGTTATGAATCTTCTGTGAATCATGCCCCAGGTCTGAGAGGTTTCTCGCGATCAGAGAAATGATAATCCCTCTCACGTTACCCACGATTTGGGGCACGTGCGCCGAACTCTACGTCAGTCGAGATTCCCAAACATCATTATCATATCGCACGATCGAGTGTCTTGGAAGTCAGGATTTTTATCTTGCCAAGCGTGCCACTGCGAACAGGCCCAAGCGCAATAAGAGACGGGAAAAAAGGGGAGGGCGTGCAGATTCAGAGCTATACAATGCAAAGTGAAGGGGTGATCAAGATGGACGGGCTTTAGCACGGCTCGGATTTGGGACGTTAACTGTTCAGTTGGGGTTATCGAGAACGAGTAGCGGGATCCTATTTGCCCTTCCCTCCCCCTCCCACCTTCATGCTATGTGTTGGGACTTTTTGTGGATCAGGGCGAGGCTAGCTGCCCGAAGGGGTTTATATGCTTTCATAGGATGTAAGCTCTGAAAAGCTCCACTAGGGACTCGTCGTTTTAATTTCTGGCAGGATAACCCTTGGCATCCTGCCTGTACACCCCTTGGGTTAGCAAATTCTTTTAGGCAGCCTCCATTATTTAACAATGAAATGATTCTCTAAATGCCATTGTGCATGAGAGAAGTTCTCATCAACGTTTGCTAGGATACTTTTGTTTTGAAGGACACCAAATTGTTTCTCCAAGTGATATGTTTGCTGGAACTTGAGACTGGGCATCTATTCTGTTTTAATATTTATATTACATCAAAGGTAACCTGAATATAAAAGAAATTTTCAAGGAGCTGCAAGATGAAGAGATTGAGGCAGAATCTTTGTCACAATCACTTAAATTTGCGACACACCATACTTGAAAATTTTCCCCCCTCTTACTACCACTCCCAACTTCTTCCCTAACCCATTTTGATAACACACACCATGACCTGCAAGAAAAATTCATGATGGTATACTCAAGGGAGGCTTCTATCAAGCTGGGTTTTGCACAGGATTGTTTCATCACCTGGAAGGTTGTTAGCCTCTGTGTACAAGCATTTCCCAAATTTCAACCCCTTAATGGCCAAGTTATTGAGTGGTACAAGAAGGTTCAGATAAAATAAGTTAACAATAGCTGTGAAACAAAAAGTTTGCTATTTTCTTGAGCTTAAAAATACCATTTACACATGGTTTAGTTAGGTACATGTCACATTAAAAGCCACCTAGAAGTCTTTACTTTTGTGCTGACACCTAAGGACCTACCACCTTTCCATGGATTCCAAAGTAATTTCTAGCCATTCAGGGTGATTCAATTCAACTGTCACTGCCATCCTGCACGATTTTTTTTCTCACGAGATGCACCACCACAATTTCCTCATTTCATGATGCTAATTCTCTGGGATGAAGGAGCATGCTTAAACGTTAATATTCTAAAGTGAAACTTTAACATCAATAATGATGAGCCAACTTCTCAACTGTCATATCAAGATCATAAAATTTTCATTGCAGTTTCATAAAGTTTGATTACCCTAGGTTTGAGTAGATCTTAGTCCTAGGTGGTTGACAGACTACCAAATTTGATATGAGAAACTCACAATTTCGAGAGATACGGAGGAGAGATGCGGGAGAGGTCTTCTGCGATGCCGAAAATACGGCTTTGTATGCCTTGGTCAAGGTACTGGCCATTCTGAGAAGAAAGAAAAACACAAGAGATTAGATGCTGACGTGAGATCTCAGGCCTTAGAGGTCGACGCGCCCGGGAGACGGCCTGGCAACTTTACGCTGGCACAGCCGGGACAGAGGGCGACGTAAGTCACCATGTTGCTTAATATCTTCCTCCAATCATGTACAAATTCAACCGGTGGAGCTAGTCTCTGATTGGTGGGCGCTCTTCCGACAGACCTCCACCTACTGTGGCACTTGCCAGTCCTCCTAGCGACTCGACTGGGCTCTCTGCCAATAGGGGTAGGTGAGCAGTCGGGTCCGGGCCCTGAGGTATACGTTTGGCCTGGACCGAGTTGAACTTTAATATATTTCGTTTCTTTGTCTAGGCAGTAGGCCTAGGCGTGTGGAACACCAGAACTAGAAGGTGAGCAGATTAGCTTTTATTCTCGTTTATAGACCTGTATAAGGCTCGGCCATGTCTTTCTTGTGGCAAGTAACTGTAGGATGACGATACGTCCTGGTTTTACCGGGACAGTCCCAGTTTTTCAGGTCCCGTCCCAATCCAGAAACTGCTCTGGTTTTCAACAAATTGCACCGGTGTCCCAGTTTCCCCCCCTCCCCCCTTATATTCTTGCTTGAAGACAAGAGCATCGCTGCTTCCATACCACAGTTCATAGCTGCTTTTGTTGGGAGGGAAATTGATGCATGGAATGCTCAAGATAAGAAGTTGAATTGGAAAGAGGCAATTTGCCATTTTAAAACCAATAATATTTCTCATGAGAAGTTGAGAAGTATTGCTGCTGCTGTTCTTTCTTCCAGGGACCAATGTATGAGCGGGATGAGTTTTCTCAGTCATGAATTTCATGTGGAGCAATGAGAAATCTCAGTTGACACCACAAACAATTAAGGTCTTGCTTTTTTGGGAAAGTAAATTTTGGTCTCAACTGACTGCAACTGGTCTCAACAAGAATTTCATGAGAAGCTGAGCAAGGAGAGAAATGTCTTCAACAAATTCATTCTTTTAGTAAATATCAATGTGAATCAAGCATGTAAAGGCTCAATAAAAGTTCTTAATTTAAAATTTATTTCCATTCTGGTATCCCAGTTTTTCAAATTGCAAGGACTATCATTTTTGGCATAATCTTGAAAATGTTGCAGTTTTTCCTGAAAAACATCTTGTCACTCTAAGTAACTGGGTAAACCTGAAACAAGCTTTTTTTTTTCTTTAACTTCAAGCCAGATGCCCAAAACTTGCTGTCTTTCAAGTTTAAAATCTTCAGGGTCAAAGCATGTATGTTGTCTGTATGACCTTGCTGTTACAAGTTAACTTAGGTCAAGGTAATTTGCCACATTATTGATGCAAGATGAGAGTTTTCTTTTGTTCATAGTTTGGGAGTGTTTCAAGTTACCCCATTTCCATTCAAAACATGAGTAAGTATGTCCAAAAAATTAGGAAGCATATGAGTAAGATATGGAACCAGGAGTTTGACTTGGACACAGGGTAATGAGACTCGAGAATTCACTTATCATTGCTTTATGTATATTTGATTATCTCATGATTCCATAGCTTAAGTTTTGTACAGTGTCATTGAAATGGCCACCTCCTCTTTTGTTTAGAGTGTAACACTTAGGATAAGAGCAGGTGGTGTCTAACTTTTAATAAGAAAAGTCAATGTGTATAACAGCTTTAAATTCCCATGGAATAAATTGCTATTGGGTACTTGCCCACAATCTGTTTAGAGAATTTCCTGGAGTAAAGAAAATGAGAACCTTGTTTAAAAGCCATTTCATGTTAGGTGACTGTGCCTCATCTCTAGTACTGTCCCATGCAATGTGTATGTCATAATTCTCATTAAGATGTGCCCATGGAAATAATGAGTTAGTTGCTACTTATATCTTTCATATTAACCAAATCCATTCAGGAAGGATGAAAGATACCCCAGCTGAATGCTTTGATTTGAGCTTGAACATTTATAGGGTGCAGAGATGGCTGCCTCCCCAGCCCTACTGCGAGTGTCTGTTTCACCATGCTGCCATGCCAGGCAAGTTCGGAGCTTCTGCACTCGCCAGGCAGTCCGGTACCAGCAGGCAAAACCAGCTGATGCCCCACCAAAAGGGATTGCATACAAGAATCTATCTATTGGGATCCCCAAAGAAATTTTCCAAAATGAGCGCAGGTGAGGAGACTATGTTGGATGTTGAATTCAATCTTACAAGATTTTTTGACCCAAATGGTGTCTTGGATTTAATGTAAAAGTTTAATTTAATGCAGAGCAAGCAGCAGGGCATTTACCTCTGTTTTTTTGTTTTTGTTTTTTTTTTTTAACAGGGTAGCAATGACACCGGCTGTAACTGCCACCTTGGTGAAAAAAGGTTTCAAAGTGAACATAGAAGAAAATGCTGGAGCAACAGCTAGGTTTCGTAACAAGGATTTTGAAGCTGCAGGTGCCACAATTCTTGACAAGCAGAAGGCTCTTCAATCTGGTGAGTTGCAGTGGTTACCTCTGTCCACAGCTGCCCCTCCAGTCAATAACTACTATCCAAAGCTCCTCAAAAAGAAAACAATACACTGGTAGCTGTTTATAAGATATTTTTCTGTGGGAATATATCTCCAAAGGGGAAATGAGGTTAAGGCATAGAGCATCTCTGAGAAGTGATGGGGGCAACTAAATGCATACTACTTTGTCTGCTCATGCAGTAGCCACTCTTCAGTTGTGACTGACCTTCTACCTTCCCTAGCCCCCCCCCCCCTTCCCTCCACATTCCTACAAAATAAAATGTGTTGCAATTGGCCATTAGCTTGTAGACATCTGTGTATTTCTCTTTGGATCAGCTCAGAGTAAATGAGGTGTTGATCTTACTCTTTAAGCATATAGCTTTGTGAGTATACTGACCCAATCAAGTCACAATCTTCTCATTCTAGCTTGCCTGCAGAGCAGACAGGCTGGCTCTCTTGTGTCAGGGCAATTATATATGTGGTCAACTCAATAGGCATTTATGAATGCTGTTTCATCCTGTATTATGTCTTGACATTGGTCTTGCATAAAAACCCCTTCCATGTACTAAACCATTATAAATTCCTACAAAGTAGAGCTGCTAACTGGCATGACATTTTTATCCAATTAATTTTTGCCTACTTGAGAAATTAATCAAAGTTTATTTCATACTTAATTCCCTCTCTGGATCTGGGAATGGAAAAGCTGAAATTCTTAAGAATGTCAGGGAAACTTCATCTTTTGCACAGTCAAATTGTCATTCTGAATGGAATAGCATAACAAGAGCATGGTACTCCTTAGTAATTCATCATCCAACCTTGGTCAAACTTAAAGGGACATTTTGGGAGCTATTGATATTGATTTTATCAATTTTTATTGAATTTTTTTTTTTAGCAATTAATGACTTGATCAATTTAATCCCCATGGTAGTTTTTATTTGAACAGATACATGTTCAGTGTTGTAAGATCCAGGGTGAGTAGCATTGTGAAAGTTGCAGTTCTGAGATTTTGCTGAATATAATGGATTTTAAAAGTTTCCTCATTGAATATGAAGCATATGTCAGCATCACAAATTTTTATATTGTTATTCCAGAAAGCACAAACTTCATTTAGGGGGGATATAGGAGCCTTTAAGCTAAAGAGCTCTTTTCCCCCCATAGGAGTCCATGTTTTCTTAAAGGACCATTAACTAAAGGTGGGTTCAACATTCAGGCTTAAATATTTTCCAGGTTACAGAATATGTTCTACCAGGTGTTGCATGTTGCATGATTGTAGCCCCCCCTCCACAGCTTAAACTATAAGAGCTAGGAAAAAAAACTCTTATATTATGAGAAAGAGCTTTTATTTTCTAATCTAAAATGTACTTCTTGTAATTTGTGTGTACCCTGGCTGTGTCTCTAACAGCTTTAAGATGAGCAAGGTAAGATGAAAAGAGGCATTTAAAGAATTCCGTGTCACCTTTCATATCCTTCAACACTTGGGTGATGTCACTTTGCAAGGCTTCTCAGGAGAATCCATGCTGCTTGCCTTCCATATGTATGAGCCTCAACTTGGTCTTTCAGGATAACCCCAAAGTTCTCAGCCACATTCAGATCAGGAGAGTTTCCTGGCCATTTCAAATAAAAATAAATCCTTGAGTCTTTCAGCATTTGCTGTGGGAGCAAAGCTTTGAAAAATAGGGCTTTTATCTGACAGAAGGTGAACGCTTAATCTATTTTGAAACCCACAAACAGGTAAGAAATTCAGCTCTGGCATCATGAGCTTAAAACATAATAGCATGGATGCGATCAGTGAATTTAAGTTCTTCACCATCATGTGACATCAGAAAAAAGGGGACAGAATAGATTCAAAATTGAACAAGGTTTCCAAATATATAGTATTTGAGATGTTTTCCTAGCTCCTATAGGGACTGTGGAGGTGTTGCACATAGATAGCTGTCTATGTGCAACACCTGGTAGTTTCAGTAGATGCTGAGAAAAGAAGAAAGCTAAGCCAATAGAAAGTTTTATTATTATTACAGATTAATCATTGGCAATGAGTGAATGCAAATTTCCACTTTTGAAAGCTAATTAATTTTTTCTCCGAGTTGCCAATATTCATCCAGATAGGCAATTCATAAGTTTGGAAATAATGTTAGAAGAGTGCAAAAACTAGCATTCAACCATGCTAGCAGGTTAATAGAATTGTCACCCTTCGCAGAGAATCTTGGAAGTCAGATTGGTTTCAGTTTTTGTAAGATACTCAGGTGGGGTAATTGTATGAGGTGTGACCTACCGTGTGGTGTCAGGTATGAGGTGTGACCTACCTATGGTCTGTGACCTACCACAGCACCCCCCTATGTCCAGCTTTGCTTTCTATTTTTTTTAGTTTAAAAGGCACCTACATTAATCTTAATTGGGGCCAGTGAAGTAGATATCCAGGTTTTTACCCCAGACGAAAAATGAAAATGGCGGTAGAATGGAGAGTGGTGGTAGGTTGGGGGGGGGGGGGTGTTAGAACTAAGGAATCCCCCTCCCCCTATGAAAAATTTCTGTATCCACCACTGTATGCGTGTGACCCCACCCATGCTTCCCATTCAGTGACACTGACAGGCATATTTGGGGAGAGGGGGGGGGGAGGTTGAGTCTGGGTTGACTGTTGACCCCCCTTCCCCCCCAAATAAACCTCCCAATATGCCTGTCAGGTCATCACCGCAGTGTTGTCGTTACAGTAAAGTGTAAGACACCACCCCACATGGTAGGTCACACCTCATACAATTACCCTCAGGTGGCCCAAGTAACAGCTTTTGTCACATAGACATGCAAACATTTGACATTCTATCTACAATTACTTGCTGAGTTGCACAGGAGCAGGGCAAATCACTGGTTTACACATTGGCATGTTGACTTTTGAAATTTTGCAAGGGTAAAAACAAATACTTGGATCCTCAAGGACCAATCTCATTGAAATTTTTAATGAGGTAACACAGGATATTGGATACAACATCTTGTAAATTTCCAGATAAAATATATCATGCAATTTTTTCTGCTGGCATGCAAAGTTGGAACTTTTTTTGAGTCTAGTATTTGTCTGTTGTTCTCCACAGATATTATCTTCAAAGTGCGACAGCCTCTACCTCCAGAACTGCCTCTTTTCCGGGAAGGGTCTACTCTCATCTCTTTCCTGTATCCTGCACAGAATAAGGATCTCATTACTGAATTGGCAAAGAAGAAGCTCAATGTTTTTGGTATGTCATATGTTCAACTGTTTCCTCTTTACTTCAATGTCATCATAACAGCTCTAAGGAGAAGTGTTGCTGTTAAAATCCTTTTGGATTGGTTTCAATGCCAACAATTATTGAATGGTGCTTTTGTTTTAGGTCATCTGTGATTCCATTGCAGAGTTGACTCCATTTGTTTTTGCAGGGATGGACTGCATTCCGCGAATCTCACGAGCTCAAGTTTTTGATGCTTTATCTTCGATGGCTAACATTGCCGGATACCGAGCTGTGGTTGAAGCATCCAATTATTTTGGACGGTTCTTTGCTGGTATGTGGGATGATAGTCCTTCCATTCTGGAGTAATTAAAGTCTTGAAACTAGGGCTGTCATGATAGCACTTTTCAAAACATCGATGTATCGAAGGGGAATACGCCAAAGGATTATATCTTTTTTTGCTGCAATCGGGCGGTTTGTCTTTTATCATTTCTTGCCTCGATTGGAGCACAGACCTCTATCAGTCTTCCATAATCTTACACTTGTGATCAGTGTGTGTGTGGGGGGATCGTGTGACCTTTGCAGGGAGTAATGAAACCTACCATGCCTCCAATTATCTAAGATGTCATCCATTCATCGATGGGTGCATCAGGATAGCTTTAATTTTTTCATATTGTCATTGAGTTTTCAAGCCCATTCATGCAATTTTTTTCTCTCCCTTTCTTTTGTTCTACACTCTTCTTTGAACATCAGCACTGGCAGATAGCAAACATGGCAATGGTACCATGCTGGTGGTTGTCAAAATGGTACAGCCCTAGAATAAGCAATGTCCATGTAAAAAATTCTCTTTGAGTTCCCCTTTAAGTGAAGAGTTAAAATGCCTCGGGTGAGTTAAAAATGAAAAAATGTAAGCCTGCATACTAAAGAGAAAGACAGGAATATAGAAAGGGGGATCAACCAATGTATGTTTCAAAATCAAGGGAGTACAAGAACAGTCCACTTTCGCAGCATGCACCTGATGAGATCATGCTGAAGACAAACAGAAGAGAAAAAAAATATTTTCGGTCTTCCCTCCCCCCTCTCCTTTCCCACTTCCTGTCTCTGATCCAACATGTTTTTTTTTTCTCCTTCCCATCTTTCATATAGTCAGTCCCAGCATTTTTAGAATTTGATTGTGAATAAGAAATTGCAAGCCCATGCCAGTCATGCTGCCTCCTCCTTTCCCCACCTGGACAGACTGTATTGTACTGGACTTGCCTCAATCCAATGGGAAATTTCCCCAGTAAAATCATTTGCCAATTCAGCGCAATGGTAGAAAAACAATCGATAATGGTATCAATGCATCGATCCATTGTGACAGCCCTACTTGAAACCTCAAATTCAAGTGTGGACTTCTAAAGAACCTTGAGCTAAGTTCCTGTAACCCAGGGGTGTCAAACTCAAATCGGTCGGCGGGCTGCATTCCTTATCCTGCAGATGCCTGCGGGCAGCACCCATACTTTTTCACCGAAATTTGTGCTATCAGTCAATCTAAGCGGAAATTTCAAGAACAGGCGGCGGGCTGGATGAACCACCTCCGCGGGCCGTATGTTTGACACCCCTGCTGTAACCCAATTTCATGCCTGCATAGGGAGGTGTTTTGGTAGTCAACCAATGAAGCTATTGCAAAGGTCTATGTTATACAAGGTATGGCGAAATGTAAAGGCCCTCATGTCTTTACTCTTATTGGTGCTATTTTTTTCGAAAAATGAAACTTGGACTTCATAGAGAATTAAGTGTTCCTGCTTCCCTCATGAAATTTCATGAAAATTTGCCTTGCCTAAGCAAGGCTGTGAGTAATTATTCAAAAGAAATAAATCTATGATAAATGGCCAACTCCAGTCCCTGCCTGCTACTTCCTACAATATAAGCCAGGGGAAAATCAGAAGAAACTCAGACCACACCATTGATTTAGCAAAGGCTCATCAAAGTCATCTGCAGCAAAAACCTAGTCCAAGTACTGAGTTTTAATTAAAGAGATGCTTGACATGGTCTTGCTTATAAGCAACCACAATGACTATGCTTTTCCTTTGCTCGACTGCCAGTATGAATTTCTTTTCATTTTCAAAATGTAACTGCATTTAAATTATTGCTCATGGCCCTGTTTCAGTCCATGAACTTGAATGAAATTTTAAAAGTCTCTCAGGAACAAACTTATTGGCCTTTGCACAGTGCATAGGCACAGTCCAGTTTTCTAAATTCTGTCTATTCTTCCTTTTATGTCATCTGATGTGTACCCAGTGGTAGTGGCAAGTTGATGAATGTTTTGTCTTTTTTTGTTTTTGACCTGACTGTTGTACTAGTTTTAGCTATCCCATCTGTCATATCAAGTGTGCCCCTTACACTCACATTTGCTTGATGCTCCCAATGTAGGCATGGCATTGGGTTGCACTGACTGTTGAATTTAGCAGGAATCTTTAGATGACTTTGCCTCTGATCTTAGTTTCTTCCCACCCTTCCTCTAGAACAATGGTTCTCAACCCCTGGGTCATGACCCAAAATTGGGTCGCCAAGCCATTTTGAGTTGGTTGCAGAGGGTCCTCCAGTGACTTTCCGAACTTTCACATATCATTTATCACAATTGAACTGTTTGAGGGCATGGGTTGCCGAGTTAGCTCTGCTATCTGAATTTGGGTCACAGCCAAAAAAGGTTAAGAACCACTGCTCTAGAAGCTCTCCCTGGCTCAAAGTTTGAGGGTTAGCCTTGAGATAGGCTACTCTCACTAGCATGGTTGGGGAGCAAGCTTTCTTTGTGTATTTTTCTTCTTGATTGGTCAGTTGATGGTTAGTGATATTGAGACTGGACTATCAAGTGGCATGGAAAAAGAATTTTTGCCAAGTCCAAGGCTCTGAGTCTAATTTTGATATTGGCAAACAGGACAAATCACTGCAGCAGGGAAAGTGCCACCAGCCAAGGTTTTAGTCATTGGAGGTGGGGTAGCTGGTCTGGCTGCTGTTGGCCAAGCCAAGAACATGGGTGCCATCGTGCGAGCATTTGATACACGTGCTGCAGTCAAAGAACAAGTTGAATCTTTTGGAGCTGAGTTCCTCGAAGTTGATCTCAAGGTAAGGATATTGGTTTGCAGAACCTTTGCTTTGAATATTAAAGGAATGGATTGACTTCTTCAATTGGCTTGGCAAAGGAAGTATGCCAATTCATTATCTGAAAATCATTTATTCTGGCTTGTCCATTTCTGCACCTGCTGAATAGTTTCACCCCTGCAGAAATATAAGTTCGGTGTGCCATTTTGTTGACATGGTAGCCAGTTCAGTAATATGCTGGAATTTGGTTACAGTAAATCTCTGGTAAAGCTGTAGATCTAATATATTTTCCTGTCCAGAAAGCAATCTGAAGGGGAATGAGTGAACAACTTTTACCTTTTTTTTAAATTTTTTTTACAGATCATATGATTTAAATCACATCATCTTAATGGCATTGTGCCTTCCAGATTCCAGATTCAATAAATTAACATGAGAATTAAGCTTGGAAACCCATTTGTTCGAAAATTAAGGCAAGGACCCTTGCATTCTTTAACTATTGGTAGTTAAATCTACCCAAAGTGGTTTCTTCCCTCTGAGTAATTAAGAGTCCAGACCAGCCATAAAAAATGTAGAAGAGAATAGTTGCAATTGGGTGAGGGATGCTTGTAGTGCTGGCTATTCCAGTGATGCCTGAGTCTAAGTACTGTTTTTCTGTACCAGGAATCAGGGGAAGGAACGGGTGGGTATGCAAGAGAGATGAGCAAGGAATTCATTGAGGCAGAGATGGCACTTTTTGCAAAACAAGCAAGGGAAGTGGACATCATCATCTCCACTGCTCTCATTCCAGGGAAGAGGGCCCCAATTCTCATCAAGAAGGTTGGCTCATTGTTTGCTTGTCACTCTTAGTTTTCTTGCTTTGTTTGATTTAGAGTTCATATTGATTGCTGAAGGAATCCCTTGGACAACTCATGTCAATTGTTGATGTGGGCTATATTAGGAACACATTGAGGCAATGGCCCCAGGTTCTGTGGTTGTGGATCTGGCTGCTGAAGCAGGAGGAAACATTGAGACAACAAAGCCAGGTGAAGTTTACACATACAATGAAGTTATTCACGTTGGACTCACCGATCTGCCGAGCCGTCTTCCCACACAATCCTCGACTCTCTATGCTAATAACATCTCCAAATTTCTCCTTTCAATTGGTAAGTTTTGAAGTCTTCAATGATATTCTCTGAATCTGAGGTACTGTTTGGATCTTTGATTTTCACTTTACTGTCTTTTGATTTTCAGGAGAGAAGGAACATTTTTACATTGATCTGAATGATGAAGTTGTCAGGGGGGCAATTGTTTTGAAAGGAGGTGAACTCCTGTGGCCTCCACCCCCTCCTCCTCCTCCATCCCCAGCAGAGGTAGTGGCTGCTGCAACCAAACCAGCTGCTGTTGAACCCCCACCACCACCTAATTATTTCAATATCACTCTCAAAGATGCCCTCATGTATACCTCTGGTGAGGGGTTGTGTTTTCAACTAGATGAATTTGAAATCCCCTTCAGCACAATCTGATGCATTCTTTGAATTATGATTATTTAGGTCTTGGGGGTCTTTTGGGTTTGGGAATGATCTCACCAAATGCTGCATTTACCGGAATGACTGCCACATTTGGCCTGGCTGGGATTGTTGGATACCACACTGTTTGGGGTGTGACCCCTGCTCTTCACTCTCCACTCATGTCTGTGACTAATGCCATCTCTGGCATCACTGCTGTGGGTGGTCTCCTCCTCATGGGTGGTGGTCTCTATCCACATAACACTGTCCAGGTACAATTCCTATCATAGAATTGAGATATGGATATTTTTTTTTTATTTCAATACCCTATTCACTTTTACATTGATATGGAATCTTGGCAGAGAGTGGGGTCAAGATCAAGGGTTAGGAAGTCTTCTCCCATGGTGAAATATGAGATCCTTCCTTTAAAAAATCAGCAAAGAAAATGATATGGTGAAAAGACCAATTACTTTTAACCAATATATGTCTGCTCCCACTTCTATTCTTGAGCTAAATTTTATTCCAAATTCATTGCTCTAAGCCAAGGCTATGAACAATTATGAAAAAGAAGTTGGATAATGAAAAGGACAAGAGCTTAGGCTTGTAGTGAAGTGTAGGATAGGCACGAATGCTCTGCTTCTGTATCATCCAAACCACTTTGGACTTGTCTTCAATTGAAATTCAAGTATTTAACTGCCCTTTTCATGCAAATTGATTGGAATAAAGCCTATCAAAATCATGACAGGTGAATCATTAAGTATCAAAACAGAGTTGGCCAAAGTTTTTCCACATTTTACTGAGATGAATGTCATAACACTGTGAAATGGCTCTCTTCAGCAGAAGTATTCTGGGTGAAACCTGTTTTACATTTAATTGTCCAAGGTGTTCAAGTAAAGAGGAATTATGATGTTATTCACTGCTATTTGTGAAGGGATGATGGGTTGGATAGCTGTTGGGGCCTGCCATGTAAAGATAGCATAGGGTTGCTCTCTTTCAAAACTTGCAGCTCTACAAATTATCGTTAATTATATCTCTGCAGGTATTGTCAGCCTCTGCTGCATTCATCTCCTCAATCAATATCTTTGGTGGGTTCCTTGTCACACAGAGAATGTTGGACATGTTCAAGAGGTAAGTCAAAAATTGTTTGGACAGCAATTGCTGCATGAAAACTGAGAAATGACAAGATGCATGTACGTATGCTGACAGGCCGACAGACCCTCCAGAATACAACTACCTGTACTCAATCCCTGCATCAGCATTTGTTGGAGGCTATATCTGGGCAGCAGCTAATGGCTATGCAGAAATTCACCAGATGGCATACTTGGGGTCATCCCTGTGCTGTGTTGGGGCTCTGGCTGGGCTTTCTTCCCAGAGCACTTCTCGACTTGGCAATACCCTCGGCATGGTGTGTCATCTCTTCCCATTGCAAGAATAGCATTCATTTTCTTCCAAGTTTTTGCCTTTGTTGCACTCGCTAGAAAAATGATATTCTATCAGATTGGTGTTACTGGAGGGATAACTTCGACTCTGGGGATGTTGGCTCCCAACACTGAAGTCCTCCTTCAAATGGCTGGCTGCATGAGTCTTGGTGCTGGAATCGGTCTTACTATTGCCAAGAAGATAGATATCACAGATTTGCCTCAGCTTGTTGCTGCATTCCACAGGTAAAATTTTCTTTGACTTCTGCCTGGCTAACCTATAGGTAGTCTGTGAGAAAGGATTCATTTGAATATAAGTACCAGGTCCTATCCTATGAGACTGGAACATCTGTTCTGTTACAGTCTGGTTGGAGCTGCAGCTGTTTTAACTTGTTTTGCCACATATCTGGACCATTTCCACACATTTGCAACAGATCCAGCTGCAGGGGTTGTTCGTACAGCTTTGTTTCTTGGCACCTACATTGGAGGTGTCACCTTCAGGTTGGTGAATCCACTTCAATTCTTGCAAGTTCAAATTGGTTGATGAAAATGTTGATTTACAGGTTTGAGGATGCAGCTTAAGTCAAAAACGTTGGTATGCTTTTAAATGAATTGGGTGTTCATAAAGGCAGTCCTACCTGCAGTCCTGTGTTCCGAGATATACTGTAACAGGAGCCTGATGGTTGTTCCTTCAAACAATCAATTGCTTGCCTAGCAGTATGCAAGAAAGAGAAAGGCTGGGGAGGGGGGACAATTGGTATGATGTGAGCCTTGTTTGCTCATCAAGAAGAGCTTTCTGTAGATGGTGGTTTGAATTGGGTTTATGATAATGTGGCTGTATGTTGAATCCAACAGTCTTGTGTCTAGACCTTCTATTACATTATGCTTCTGACTGCTATCATTGACATTATGATTGAATCGAGTCCAATGCTTCGTTGGTTGCTTGAATTGATCACATAATTTCAGTAGCCTCCATGGCATTGGGAAAGAAATTTCTCAGGATGAGGCTTGGAAAGGATAGTCAGTGTATCTATGGCTCTCCTTCATCCAGCCCTTGTGACACCTGTCTCATCCAACAGTAGTTATGTTGTAGTTGACACCCTAAGAAAACCTACATTGATGCCACCTCTCATAGATGATGGGAAATGCTATTCTCAGGTAGCAGCAAAAGTGTCATGAAAACTAATTTAGCCTGCAGTGATTGCTTGGATCTACATACCATATTACTCTATGTGTAAGTTGAAAACAAGGTTTGCTTGCAGATTTGGAAGCTTTCCCAAAAGCAGGTTTTTACTGGGAGGTTATTGGAAAGACAACAAACAATTTGTTTTGGTGTAAAATTTAGAAATACTGTACTTTCCCTTCCCCCCTCAAAATGAAATGAGGTTCTGGTTCTGTTTTGATGGTATTTCACAGCAATAAGGGATCTTTCCCTTGAGATTATCGCTTCCTTTGTGTTCCTTTTGGGAGTCCCTAAGTATAACTCTTGTGGCTGATTCCTTGGCTGTTCAATAGAAACTGACTAGGTTTTCTTCATGAATACACTTCCTAACATCCTGTAACAGTGTAAAAAGCATGATTCTTTAAACTGATGTTGGTAAATATATTATCCCTGTGAGCATATGAAAAGAAAAGCCAACAAAGAGGGGTTTATTGTTCATGCTGCAGTAGAAGAGATAGGAGGGGGGGAGAATGGAAAAAGAGGTGCCATCAACATCTGCAGCCTGACAGAGCCTGGCAAGGTATCATATGCTATGTTACAGAGACAGTACAGAAATGATTCATACAGGTAACATTACTGAAGATGAGTAAAGGTGAAGAAGTCAAGAGCCATAGAGAAAATTAATTTTGGGGTTCACACCACTATGGCAGCTGTACCAGTTCTGAATTTCAAAGGCACCTTTCATGGGAATGACCTGAGTCAAGGAAGCAATAGAGATCCAATGATTTGTTGAGTTGGGGTCTGTTTTTGATGGCTGAGTTAAAATTTTTCTCTGTGTATGAACTATGTCTTTGTCATTCTAGTTGAAATTGTGCAGGCATAGCACTAATTCTTTTGTATATTTCAGGACCAGAATTCGTCCTATTGAACGTAAAACAGTCTCCTCATCTCCTGTGCCTGACCCCCTCTGTCCCCAGAATGATAACACTGTGAACACCTTGAGCACAGAATCTGGAGTCTTATAAGGTTGTGGGGCTTATTTATGGTTGCAGTGGTTCCTTGATTGCATATGGGAAGCTACAAGGAATCATGAACTCTGCCGCTACGCTCCTTCCGGGCAGACATGTATTGAATTCTGCACTCATGGCTGGGAATGTGGGAGCACTCATCTGGTATCTGGCTGACCCATCCATGGCAGTCGGTTTGTCTATGCTTGGCCTCACGACTGCTCTGTCAACCACCATGGGTGTGACTCTCACTATAGCCATTGGAGGTAGCCCATTACTTAGTATTCTGCTCACTCCCATTATTTTAAATTCCTGGAAGGGCAAATGGATACATTTATGCATTTCATGGTGGCAGGTGCTGACATGCCTGTAGTGATCACGGTGCTGAACAGTTACTCCGGCTGGGCACTCTGTGCAGAAGGTTTCATGCTTAACAACACCCTCATGACAATTGTTGGTGCCCTCATAGGATCCTCTGGAGCCATTCTATCCTACATCATGTGTCGAGTACGTGCAGTCATGTTTTTTTTCTTCTCCCGCCTCTTTGATGCCATCTACCAGGCCTGACAGTTTAAAAATTAAATTTTAGGCAATGAACAGGAGTCTGCCAAATGTAATCTTGGGAGGTTATGGGACTACTACCACCGGAACTGGAAAGCCAATGACCATCTCTGGACAGCACACGGAAGTCTCGGTCGATGGAACCGTGGAGTCCATTGTTAATGCCAAGAATATTATCATTACCCCAGGTTAGACTTTGGCAGAGCCTCATTCCAACAACTCGAGAATGACTTGTTTGACATGTACATGAATTTAAATACTTGTCACTGGTGCTTTAGGATATGGTCTCTGTGTGGCAAAAGCCCAGTATCCCATCTCTGAGATGGTGACACTGTTGAAGAAGAAGGGAAAGAATGTTCGCTTTGGAATCCATCCTGTTGCCGGTGAGTGTGATTAAGGTGTATCTGTTTCAGATTTGAAGCAGCAACCTGTCTGTCATTTGTGCGATCTCTCTCGTTCAGGTCGTATGCCAGGGCAATTGAACGTGTTGCTTGCTGAGGCTGGTGTACCCTACGACATCGTGCTGGAGATGGACGAGATCAACGACGACTTCCGGGATACCGACGTGGTTCTAGTCATTGGAGCCAACGACACGGTGAACTCGGCTGCCGAGGACGACCCAAATTCCATCATTGCCGGCATGCCCGTCCTTCGTGTCTGGCTTGCCGAACAGGTAACTCTAAAATGGATAGCATCAAACACATACTGGCAGAATTAGTCTTAATAGTGTGACTTCTTATCCTGATATTTGCTTGATAGGTGGTGATCATGAAACGGTCGTTGGCAGTCGGGTACGCTGCCGTCGACAACCCAGTGTTCTACAAACCCAATACTTCCATGTTGTTTGGTGATGCCAAGAAAACATGTGATGCCCTTCTTGTTAAACTCAAGGAACATTATGGGGAACACTGACAGTCTGTGTAAAGGTAGAATCTCCTCATCTTGTTTCACATCAGAGAATTCCTAGTTTAACTGGTTTTTCACACGTTTCTTTGATGTTTCAGGTAGCAGTTCAACCCTTTCACGTAGAATCGGATTGCCATCCGGTTGGAGAATCTGTCGTCGACTTGTACGACAGCAACACCTTTTTTCGTCGTCCTGATATTTATCAGAGCGAATAACAAAGTCTTATGGACGTCTAGTGGTGATTTCTTCATGCTTCACGTGGTTTTTAAACATGTGCTTGAGCCATGCATCTCTGGCATGTCAATCAAACGTGAAAAAATTTATCCGATGAACGTGTCAAACTTAGGACGACGAGACGTGATAGTTCGTGAATGAAGAAGCAGACGATGGCTGCACCAAATAGTGGCTCATTAGTTGGAACTAGGAATCGTCGTTATATTCACAAAATGAGTTGAACGTGTTTTCCCTACACATCTGAACACGCTGGTAGACACTTGGAACACTCCTGCTAGACGCTCGAAAGGATATCATCTGGTATTCGGGTATAGGCCATTGTGGTACAACGCTCCAAGTAGTGGGATATTCTGGTGAGACTCTCGCGCATTAACCAAAACGAGTGAGGGAATTGAGATTTCCTAACTTAGAAACTGTGCCCAGATTCCTTCACGACGAAACCCTCCAAGTAACTAGAACAGTGGTTCCCAATCTTTTTTTTATTTGCGGCACACATAAGGACACTTGAACTTTCCACGGCACACCCAGCCATTTACTTACTTTCGATGGGAAACTTGTGCATTCTTCGCTGAACACGGCAGTTTGATACGAGGCGTGATAGTGTAACTCTCAGCTCGTTTTCCACTGAGAGATGGCGGATGTTTTTTAATTTTTTTGTCAACTCTGAAATCTCACGGCACACTTAAGCCTTACTGGCGGCACACCGTCTGGGAAACGCTGAACTAGAAGGCACTAGACCCAACGAATGACGATCGAATGATGAAGTCTACGTGGTTTAAGGCTGCGGCATAGCCAAGGAGGGTGGGAACCCTTTTAAAGGCCCGATGGCAGAGATGAGCATCTGGGAAGCCAACCCTCACCACACGACGTGTGTTACGGCGGTTTTTACCCGAGAGTGAGAAAGCACGCCTATTCCGGGAAATGATGGTAATTGGGTGAGAAACGTTTTTAAGCTGTGGCCTTGGGCCGCGACCTTAATTATTTTAGATTCGATTCGAATCCTAAAACATTAGACATCCGCCTGACACCTTGCAGATGGCGATTTTCACGGACGAAACGAGGCCTCCCAAAAATTAGGCAAGAGGAAACGAGATCGGATAAGTGTTACGCGACGGAGGAAACAAGCATGTTTTCCGGTTTCTCGGGAAACAAGGAACCAGCGAGTCCTTGAAGCCGACTGTCACGTCCGGGTTCGACCGGAGGACGCAGAAGGCCGAAGGGAGTCATTAACGTCCCCCATGATAAACATCACGGGAGGAGGAAAGATTTCCGTGATTCCGGCGAAACCAGCTGATACTTGACGTCTCGATACAACAGCGTGGAATGTATGGGGGCGATAGGGACGCTCGAATGAGATCACAAGTTGTTCACGTGAAATCTCTTCATCTTCATTTCAACATCCACTTTATGGGGTGATTGCGTAAGAAATCACACCATCATCGAAGAAAAATGTAACGAATGTCATTTCCAAAACAAAGGGACTTTTGACGTAGGAAATTGGAAACCGACCGACCAGGAGCACAAAGGAATAAGTGGAACGCCTGTTGCATGCCCGACCTCTTGTATCGAATCGAAACTCGTGGTTCTGGTTCCGGCCGTTAGAGAGCAGTAGCGCCGAGTTCTCAATGGGGGAAAATGCCGGCCGGCTCCATTCTTTGGTCCCTCCTGATTTCGGTGAAGCCGATGACCTAAAATCCGTCGAAACAGTCACCCCCGTCCTCGAGCTTGCTCTAACGAGCACATGCACGATCCGCTTCCCGATGTTGGAATTTCCGTTTCGCAATTGTTTGCCAGATCATCACCACGGATAGGGAGGGATGACGTGACGTGCAATCGCTCGTTTCCTCCGGCCTCACCCGGCGTGGAACGTGCTGAGGAAATCGCGCTTTCAAAACCATCGCCGTTCGTCGAGAAAATTCCATTCCAAGGCTGCGTTTCAAGGACCGCATGCATGCATTGCACATTCGGAACGAAGCAGAGGAAACGGGTCGAGCACCGACATGCGGGCCTACCGCATCGGCGGCGATAAAGACCGATCGAGGAGCATCTCGTGACTCTTCACCTGTCGTTTGTCTCGGCGGATGCGGGGTTCCGGCGGCCTTGTCGAGCGATGACGTCGTCCTTTGTGCGAGAGGGGAGCCGAGGGGAGAGCGGCAACGATGGGAGGGCAGGGAGGCCGTCCCCTGCCCGGAACGGACATAAACAAGGTCAATGCGCCATCACCGGCCGGCTTCCCCTTTCTTTCTTTCTTCCCTGCTTCGTCGCCCTCTCGTCGACGGACGTCGGCGAATGCGACCCAGGACGCAAGGAAGATCGCAAATGAATGCATGCTCGCGTCGCCGACGATCCAGCGTCGCGGCGACGAGAGGAGGACAGGCGCAACGAAGAACCCCCAGAGCGGCTGTTCCGCATGGCAACGGGATAACGGCGTAGAAAGGTGGCAGCCAATCGGAGCTCGAGCCGGGGATCACGTGGTTTTGTTTTTGTTCGTCAGCTGTGCGGCCCTTTAACAGCTGATCCCGGCCTGGGAACAAAGTCCGCTGCCTCTCTCTCGGCTCGCTCATACGAGGGCCTCTCTCCCCGCGCGCCCGTGCTCGCCTCATGTCGTCGTCGCCCGTAGCGAAACGCTTCGCGAAACGCGCCGTGTTGGGCGCTCGCGTCGCGGTCCCCGAAGGACCTTTCTACCGCCAGGCCACGATCCTGCGGTACGTCGACGAACCCGGCGGCCTGTTCACGGTGAAACTCGAAGACTCGGCCGTCGTGAAAGACGTCCACGAATCCGTGATCCTCGGACCCGGCTTCAACCCCGTGAGTTCCGCCCTCTTGCGCCCCGGCCAGAGGGTCTTCTTCACGCACAACAATCGCGAAGTGACCGGACTCGTGAAACAGTTGCTGGCAAACGACGAAGTCCTCATCTCGCTTCAAAGCGAACACAGAAACGTGAGTGTCTCCCTCCGTCTCTCGACGCGGATTTCGCCCTCTGCGAACGCGAAGTTCGCCGACCGTCGCCCTCGCTTCTTACGTGCCTGCATCGACCTTAAAAATTCGTACGAGTCGGTTTAAAAAATAAAAAAAAAGTTTTAACATATGCAGCGATGACGATAAAGACCAGCTTCGGGATGGGTTTTTCCTCGTTTCACCAAACCATCCCCGAAAGCAGGAGGATCGGCAGGTATAATTTTTCATCCCATTAGAGGAGCAGCGAAACAGGTCCCCACCCAAGCATACGGTCATTATGCAAACGAGCCCAGAAGGCCCCCGAAGCCCCCGAAGCGGCACCGAATAGGCGTCGGAGACGACCCCCAAAACGAAACCCTATCTACCTCTTAATTGCCACACCGCGAAGCATCCAGTTTGGATTTTTTTCTTCTTTTTTTTTTATTCGCCGGCGTGAAAGTGGAGTGAGCGGCGCTGGTCAGCCGGCTCGGGTGAAAGGAGGCGGTCGGAATTACAGGGATGGCCCACATTCGCCTTCTCTCTCTCTCTCTCTCTCTCCCTCCTCCGGGGCCAGGATGACCTTATTGCGTAAGATGTCGTCGGCGCCCCAGTAATGCACGCGGCCATGGAAGGGCATCCCATGCATCCCGTCTGGCGCCGAAGTCAACCCTTTATCGATAAAAAGTAGGAAGGAAATTTTTGGTCGCGTGACGCAACGCGACGAAGATGCCGATTTTCGGCGTAGAAGGATTCCCGGATCTGCGTCTCCACTCATCCAGCTTCTTCTTTTTTTTTTATTTATTCCGTCGCAGAGTCCCACGGAGGTGAAGCGTCGAGCGGAGGAGATCCGGTTCGTCGAGAGCCGCAAGAGCGCCCGACTGCAGGACTCGGAGTTGGACTTCGCGAAGCTGGCGGACATGACGTCGTCGTCGTCGTCGTCGCCCGGGGGGCGGAGTCCGCCGAGGAGCAAGGATCACGCAGGGTGAGGCACCGCCGTCCTTCGGACCTTTAAAGGGGGACCCGAGGGAGCCCGAGGGAGCGCGAGGGGGCCCGAGGGGCCGTCGAAGGACGCCGCGCCATCGCGTTTCACCTTGGTCGAGTTCCGAGCCGAGTTTTCTCGCGCCGGTGACCGCAACGAGGAAAAACGAAACTCCGTCGTTCGGACGACGTCACGCGAACTCCGTCGTTTAAACTCCCCCGTTTTTTTTTGCGGTTGTTGTTATTTTTTTTTTGTTAACCCCGCCCTTTCCTCGAACGGGCGTGGACTCAGCCGGATCCACTCGGTGCGTATCCTTCGGATGCCGGGCGTAGTGGAGACCGAAGGCCGCCGCGACGAAGGCCTCGGTTGCGACGGCCCACGGCGCAACCTCGTTCCTCGTCTCCCGGATTCCGACGATGCGCAGTCGAGGACGGGGCCGGCGAGCCCCCACCGATCCGAGAGGAGAGAGTTCCAGCTGGTTCTCGTTGCGTCATGGGAGTCCCGGACGTCAAATTTGCGTCACGAGCCACGCCCGAGAGATCGACAATCCTGGGGAATCGTGACGGGGGGGGGGGGGGGGGAGGGGGGGGGTGGGGGGGGGGGTTTCGGAGGATAGAGATCAACCATAAGAAAGTTATTGACCATAAATGNCTGGGGAATCGTGACGGGGGGGGGGGGAGGAAGGGGGGGTTGGGGGAGAATGGGTCTCGTGTCCGAGCGGGAAGGCGAAACGCAGAAGCGCTAAAGCAGTCTTGACCCACTTTCTCTCTCTCTCTCTCTCTCTCTCTCTCTCTATTGATCAATCCATCCCGGTTTCGGGGGGGTTTGGCACCCTTGCGTAAAGGAAGAGCTTAGCTCGGCCGGGTTGCACCGACTCCACTTTCTCCCCTTTCTTCGCATCCTTCGTTCTTCTCTTTCGTCCTCCTTCTCCCGTTTTCCCCCTCATCTCGTCTCCTTCCCCTTCTCCTCTTCTCCTCTTCCTTTTCCTTTTCCTTCTCCTCCTCCTTCTCCCGTTCCTCCCTCTCGCCTCTCCCGTTTCCCCTCGGCAGGAAGGTATGGGACCGAATGGCAGAGATTCTCTTCCCCCCCCCCCCCCTCTCTCTCTCTCTCGTCCTTGCTCGTATTTGCAGTCTCTCTCTTTCTCTTTCTTTCTCTTCCCCCCCCCCCCTCTCTCTCTCTCTCTCGTCCTTGCTCGTATTTGCTCGACCCGGTTGCGATGCTTGGATTGATCGGGGAGCCGAGCAACAGGGTCTCGCCGGTCCCGCTCTCCGCGTGGCACCCGGATCGTGACGAAACAACCTTGCGGAGCCCGGCCGGCTCGGGACCGCACGCGTTCCCTCGATCCTCGTCTCCTCGATGCTCGCTCCGTCGATGCTCGTTTCCTCGATCCTCGCTCCGTCGATGCTCGCCCGCTTTCACCGAAAAGCCGGATTCCTTTCCCCCGGAAGCCGGCTCGATTCGGCGGCTCGTGCCATCCGAGACGGAAGAAAGATTTCGAGCAGATTTTCGATGCCACTTTCCCTTGGCGCACCGGCTCGGACTCGGTGAAGCGTTGCGAAAACCGAAGGGAGTCGGACGCGGAGGGGCGATTGCGATTCCACGAACGGAACGGCGACGGAGGAGTGGGCAAAGATTAACGATTTAGATGCGTAGAAACGATAGTAGGTCGGATGGGGGTGTCGTAAATTCATCACTTTCGCACAGGCTACTTCACATAAACAAAATCTGTCATCGGAGTGAAAGACCGACGCAGAAGGGGTTGAGGGGGGGGGGGGGGAGGGGGGGGGGGGGAAAGTGGGTTAAATGGATGCGTAGCCGGCCGGCATCGCCACATCTTGCGTTATTTTTTCTTCTCTTTTTTTTTTCTTTCTTCGTACTGCGTTTGCCCGAGGCAGGGCGAGAGAGAGAGAGAGAGAGAGAGAAAAGGCAGTTAGGGTCTCGAGATGACATAGAAAAGCGGCGAAGCGTCTCCGAACGCCCCGTTTGCGGGGGTCCGAGAAAGGCGATTCCGCTCGACGTACACTCTACTTTCAAATCCCTTCGCTTTCGTCAAGCATTAAATGGTTCGCGGGGAAAAAAAAAAAAGAAATAAAAAAAAAGCCGGGTGCCGTACGGGGGAAAAAGGCCGTGATGCAATCGCGGATTTCTTTTGTGCGGCGGATTTTTCCTCCACTTTTTTTTTTTCCTTTCGCTCCTTCGCATTGTGTCCGTTCGCCGTTGCGTCACGGTTTTTCCGAAGAAACGCTCGGATCGTCGCAGGAGTTCGCGGAAGCGATCGGGAATCAAGGAGGAGGAGGTGGAGGTGGAGGTGGAGACGCAGGTGGAGGTGGAGGTGGAAGTGGAAGTGGAGGGGGACGAAGTGGTGGTGGAGGAAGAGGAAGAAGAAGAGGAGGAACTGGACGAATGTGCGGCAGCGATGGTCCTCATGAGCCTCTCGTGCAGTCCCAGGAACTTCAACTCTTCCGACAGTGAGGACGAAGATCTCTTCCTCGAGGGGAACTTCCCCGCTTTTCGAGGGGGTCGAGCCCTTTTCCCACCTTCTCCGCCTTTTCCCCTTCATAGGTGGGTACAGCCAGTCGTGGGCGGACCGCCTGTCGCCGAGCTCGACGTCGAGCCTGGGCAGCGCCGGGACGAACGGGATGGCGCCGGACGGACCGGCCTCGCCACACACCCCCTCCGACGAAGGCATCGTCATCGAGGACGGCATCGTCGAGATGGACGAATCCATGATCAAGGTCGGCTCCCGTTCCCGTTCCCACGGAAACCGGCGCAACGCCGGTCTTTATTTTCGAACGACCGTCGTTCGCGTCGGGGAGGCGATCGAAGAGCCTTTGAGACGGCGGTGCCAGCCGCCGACAGGTGGAAGGCGGTTCGCCCCCGCCTTCCGTATGGAACCGGCATCGGCCGCCCGGTTGCGCGAGGCGAGATCGTGTCGACCTTGAAGTAGAGAAATGCGGGGCCCCCCTCCCCCCCTTTGCCCCCCCCCACGCGTGCCTCTCCCATCGATTGGCAACCGAGAATGATGGAACCGGGGGCGGGCGGTTTTCCCCCTCGAGATGCGCATGGGATTTTTGTTTGGAGGCGGGGCCCGTGCGCGTCACGTCGGTGGAAAACCAGTCCCGAGGGGGGGGGAGGGAGGGGGGGAAGGGGGGGAGGGTGGGGAATACCACCGAGGAAGGGGGAAAGGAAAAAAGAATATGTGTCACGCTGTTGGAAGGGTTCCAAGGACTTCTTTTTTTTTTTCTTTTTTCGCTCGCTCACAAACCAGGTTTCTTCCGCGTGCGAGCAAGGCCTGCAAGGGCTGCAAGGCTTGCCAGGCCTGCCGAATCTCGTCAAGGCGAGGTCTCGGTAGTACTTACATAACAAAGAAAGAAGGCAAGATAGTGGCGATAATCCAAGGACGATCTGCGGCCACACGTGCCATCCCCGAAGGCGAATCCCATTCGCCTTGTCGTCGCCCCTCCCCCTCCCCCTCGTCGCCCCCTCCCTCCCCCCTCCGCGGGACTCGGCCGGGAAACGCGAGTCGGACGGCCCTGGGGTCCGACTCGAGGGGGTGTCGTGACGCGATCGATGGCGGGGAGGAGGGCGAGGGGCGAGAACCGGCGGTCGCTGCGAGCGGCCATGACAGAATTGCGCAGTCGGAGTCCGGCGTTGCCGCTCTCCCCGACCGGGAGGAGGAGAAGGAGGAGGGGGGTTTTCCCCCCTCCGTTCTAGTTTCCCCCTCTGTGTGGGAACGGAGGAGGCACGGGCGAACGGTGTTATTGAACCCCGGGGAAGGGGGGGGAAACAAAGAGCATTCCGTGAGCATTTCAATGCTCTCGTCCGTTCGTTTCTCCCCCCCCCCCCCCCCTCCCCCCCAAACCATTTAATGCTTGACGAAAGCGAAGGGATTTGAAAGTAGAGTGTACGTCGAGCGGAATCGCCTTTCTCCCGTTGTCATCGCAGGGGTAATTCATCGGTGGCCGACTAATTACAGCCCCGGAGCCATAAGTATCCGAGCGTAGGAAAAAAATTAATCACACGCCCTCTTTTTTTTTCCGCCTTGTGGCATTCGGAAACGATAGAAAAAGTCGTCGACCGTGAGGCTGCGAGAGCCGAAGGTCGCGGGACCTTAAGGTCACGAGACCTTGGAAAGCGCCCCGAAAGGTCGGCCCCACGGACGCGATCCGAGGGCAACCGACTCGCTTCTTCCACCCGTTTCCTCGTCCGATCCGTTGTTCGCCTCGAGCCCCGGCCGCGATTCGGAATCGCGCATCGGCTGATCCGGGTGGCTTCCGCGCCTGCCCCCGAAACGATGATTGATATGATTGATAACCCGCCGTGAAGCCTCACAACAACGGAAAAAAAGATCGATCGGGGTCGGAGGAATCGGTGACATCTGAAATGCTTTCACCGTTCCATTAGCCCTGGAATCCTCATTTTTCTTCAAAACGCATTAATCCTCATATTGGGGTAATCGGGCCCATCTCTATTTAAAAAAAAGCTTGCAATTCGGTTGGAAATTGAAATCGATTCGTGTGCTTTCTGGCGGAAGGGAGAAAGTCTCCAATCGATGCATTAACTTCTGCGATGATGTTTTTATTTTTCACCGTTGCAGCGTCGCAGTCATCCGATACGGCTCGCATAACGATGACTAAGTAAAATTCGGAGTCGGTCGTGAATATTCATGCGTCGTGCGACGAGGATTCGAGGGTTAAGGACGACACGACGGCTTCATCGTCTGACGGACGAATGTGCTCGAGGTGGCGATCCGTCCGCCACCTCCAGAATTTCGCTTCCCGAGCCGGATTCGGAGGGGATCGGGGGGGGGGGGGGGAGGAATCGGGGGCGATAACGTTCCTCGCGGTCCTGCATCGTGTCGATGCTGTCACTGACTCCTGTTTTTTTTTTCTTTTGTATACACAGAGTTCGACGAGGACGGTATACCAGTGCACGTGGCCGGGATGCGGCGTCACGACGTCGTCGTGCCCCGCCATCGAGACGCACGTCAGGGTCGCCCACCTCGGGTAAGCCGCCGGCGTGCATTCCGCGTAAAGACTCTCGCCTCGCGACGCGGAGATGAACCCGTTCGTCCCGCCCGCAGGGGGAAAGACGGAGAGAACACGGACCACGAGGAGGAGTTCTACTACAACGAGGTGGAGGTGACGGTGAGCGGCGGGGGGGTGATGGGGGGAGCGATGGGGGGGACGACGACGACGTCCTCCCCGCCCACCCTCTCCCACATGGACATGGCCCGACCCCCGCACGAGAACCCGGAGTACCAGCGGGAGCGACCGGTCGCGGCTGCCGTCCCCATCTCCATCCCCCTCCTCTCCCGATCCTGGCATCATCCGTACTACGCGAGCTCCGGATCCCCGGTGAGAGTCCCTTCCGCGTCGCGTTCGGTCCGTGCGGACGAACGACCCGTCGCGATTCCGGAGTTCGGGGGTGTCGGTCGAGTGCGAGGCGTCCCGCGGGCGAGCGGAGACATCTGCAGGCGATCCGTGTAACCGACCGGTATCGACCGGGTCGTTCGTCTCCCAGAGGCGAAGCATCTCGAAGGAACGCGGACCCGAGTCCAAAGAGAATGAAGAAAAAAACCGACCTTGTAACAGCCGGAACACTGCACCTCCGAACTTGCACAGGAGCCAAGAAAGAGGTCGTTCATCAGCAAATTAAAAATAGCTCCCCCAGGAAAAAAAAAAAAAAAAAAATTTGATGAAAGGGTCCCTCCTCCCTCCCACCTAAACCTCAATAACCCCCACCCTCGATCCCGCAGGTGTCCCCGCAGAAGTACATGCGACTGAGCCCCAAGTCATCGTCCCCGAAGATCTCCATCCTCCGCCCCCGCGTCCGCGGCGAGACGAAGAAATGCCGCAAGGTCTACGGCGTGGAGAACCGGGATCTCTGGTGCACCCAGTGCAAGTGGAAAAAGGCCTGCTCACGATTCACCGACTGATCACCTCAGCAACATCATCATTTTTTAATCATTTTTTTCGCATACTCCCAACCGGATTTGGGAAGCGACAGATAGCTAGAGAACATTTTTTTTTTTACATCTACGCTTACTCGCGAGTCGGTGTGACGTTTGCTTTATTTTAGGCATCAGATGATTGTTGTCTTGGTTCCTTTTTTTTTTGTCCCCTCCCGTTTTACATGCCCCCCTCTCTCGGCTCTTCCTCGAGTTCTTCCAAATCGATCCAGGCTCCGTTCTTTTCCCCGGTGCAGTCGTCGGTATGAAACGGTCCCTTTCCCTCCCGTCGTCGTGTACCTGTACAAAAATCCGCACGAACTCAGGAAAGTGCTAATCCTACGAGAGGATTTTCAAGTCAAGGGACTTTTTCTTTTTCGTCGAGAGTTCGGCACGTCTCAAGATACGGTTCACCGTAGCGTAGGACACGGTAGCGCGCATTATCTTGTAAATAAGAGTTTATATTTTTCGTTGAGCGCTCGGAAATGATTTTTTTTTTCGGTCGATGCCACAGGGCTTTCAGTCAAAACTCAAGAATCTGTGTGAGTATATATTTATTGCGGCTCCAGCATGCGAAAAACGATCAGCAGATCGACAATTGTTCGCGTTTTTTTTGTAATTATTGCTACACCGTTTTAAGTCTTTCATTTCGATGCCAGTGAGGTCGGACGAGGCAAAAGAAAAAAGAAAAAACCCAGACGAATCTCATCTCGACGAGTACCTCTCCCCCCCACTTCGTCTTGTGTGCAACAATGAGAGGCATTAAACGCAAGACCCTTAGAGCTGGTCTCTAGTTGCTATAGATGACACTTGAATGGAGCTGAGTACAAAAAATTAAAACCATAACCCCGAGGACGAGTCCTGTGGATTTGACTCCCGTTTCCTGTAAATAGAGACTCTTTTTTCGACGACCTTCGATTCGAGAGTGTGATCTTGCGGAGGTCGGCCATCGGCATTTACGGATTCGAAGGGAAATTCCCCATCCCACGGCCGAACTCGATTTTGTAAATACGCAGAGCTTTCGATTCTATATATTCAATTCAGACAAGTTGTGATGTGGTTCATGTTGAAGAGGGTAGATGAGACGTCGCCCCGAGATACCTTTTTTCGATCGATTTTCTCGAAGTTGGGATATTTGTGGGAGATTTTATACGAGTGTTTTCTAGTGAATACTGGCCCTGCCTGGACGTAGGGTTCCCCCTTTTTTCCCCCTTCTCCTCTGGTAGGAATTCTGAGCGTCACGATGTTCTTCCTTCTCTCCGAGAATACGGCTGTACTTCCCTCCCATCGCCCACGAGAGTACAAACCCTCTTCCCCCCCCCCCCCTTTCCCCCCTGCAGGACGGTCCAGTGTCTGTAAATAGTTTTGGTGTGCGTTTCTTTCGATTTAGTTTTTTAGTCTTCACTATCATGGATCGCTCGTCCGTGACAGGCCATGCCACATGTCCGTTTTCGCTTCATCGTTTCCAAAGGAAATCGAAATATATCTCCTTCCATGTGCAAACGGGTCGTGTCCTGATTCTCCGATCGGAGGTTGCCCTTCACGAGTCCCGTCCCACTTTCCCCGACCTTCGACTAGCGAGTCACTCTCGAAATGAGGGTGACTCGGGAATTATTATCATCCACCCGCAAGAATTCCCGGATGAGACCGACGGAAGCGAGAGAGGATCGTTCGTCGACGTAATCCTTTAATTAGAACGAGCAATGAAATACATTCGAAAGCAGAGCAATCTCAACGTGGAAATACGCGACACCTCGCCGAAATCGGAAGAGAAGACCCGCTCCCTCATATACTGCTTTGACTCTTGCCGCACTGCAGAGCCTCCGCGAGGAAGAGCTTCCCGAGGGCCTGGGAGGCGAACGTGGAGATCTGCTGGCAGTAGTTCTCCACCTGGCCCGACGCGATGAGCGTCTCTCGCCGGGGTGGCGGGGGCAGGCTCTTGAACATCTTGTTCACGTCCTCCTCCGGCAGCGGCGGCTCCCCCCGCATCTGCCGCGCCTCGTTCTCCAGCGTCTGCGAAACGAGTCTCCTTGCACATCGTGTTTTTCGACGGAAAAATCTTCAACTTCGACGCGAATCGAAACACGTACCCTCTTCTGCATGTAAGTGTGCTTCGTCTGCTGGTGCTTCACCAGCTGTCGCTGGTAGATGTTAAACTTGTTCATCTCCTGTGACAAGTCGTCCACGCAGTCCATCAGACAACGGAGATGACGTTCCAACACCGACCTGCACGCGTGTCACCCGCCCAAATATGGAAAAGGCTCATTAGCATACCTCAAAGTTTGTTCATTTCCTCCCATCCGGCCGGGTGCATCGAATACTGTAGTAGAGATCCATTAAAATGCTCCAAAATGCAGAGAGCATTCTGAACCCGGAGTGCATCGACTCGGAAGGAGCGAATAGTTAAGCATCGTAGAGAGACGTACGTGGTGCCAAGATCCATGAACTGGGACTCGCAGACCTTCACCGGCCCCTTCTTCTTCTGCAACTCCAACAGCAACAAGTTGACCAGCGTGGAATTTCTGATGACGATAGGGATCTCCTGCAGCAAGCGGCTGTAGGGCAGGCGGAGGTTCTTCACGGCCTCCGGCGAGAAGTCGTCCTCCTTGTAGAGCTTCACGGCCTCCGGCGTGAGCCGGTACGCCCGGATCGACAGGAAGCCTCTCGCTGTCTTCACTGGATCTGTCCGGTGCGAAACGATGCATGTGCTTACTTAGTGGAAGAGATGGATGGAGACGCGAAGCACACAGTCGTAAACAAAGAGGTTGAAAATCGAGGGCGGGAGCGGCAGCTCTTTTTGTTATTCGACGAAATCTGGCATTTGCCCCAAATTCAGGCAATTACGTCGAGCAGTGGACGAAGCTCTGCCCGTAATATGACATACATCCTCCCCGATTAAAGAGCGCAGATGGTAAAAATTAAACCACTTTAGTTGGGAAAGTGCTATCAACACAAGTTATATGGCGAGTCTCGACTTGACAAATATGATCGATGTGGATCGATCTATTTCCCATGGGAAAAAGGAAAAGTCAACGCAACATATTTATTTATGCAAATTAGACTTTCTGGATTAAAAAAAAGTCACAAAGAGTGCAGTGACAAGAGTTCTAAATAACCCACACTGAAACTTAGCACACCATGACTGTCACAAGATTTGGCAAAGAGTCAATGATCCTTTTGATTCTGATTAGCATGCTTCTGCCAAAAGGGTATACTTATGTCTTCAGCCCACAACTTCTTGATTTTAAACTATGTAACTTTCATATCCTAGGCAATGCACTTAGGAGTGAGTGCATACCCAAGGGGTATCAAGGCAGGGACGTATAACAGGGAGCGGGAATGAAAAAAAGTTGGAGTTCTTTGTTCTGAGCTTATCTCTCCTAACAGGAAAGTGCTTGAAAAGTTCCAAGGCGACGTACCCAGTGATGTCATCACCCAGCTGCATCAATTCAGCATAACCATTCATAATTTTGGAATGATACTGAACTCCTGGCACTCCACTTATTTCTTTTAAATCTTGTAATTCTTGTAAAGGCATTCATACTGATAGTTAAATTGTAAAAATTTTAACATGCCATGAAAAATATCCATAATTATAAAAAGTGAGCAAATTGCATGTGACACTATTTGAAAGGAGTCAAGGCATTTGAAATATGTGTAAGACAAATGTGATCTTGTGATAAAAATGTTAAGAATGGACTCTCTTCATCTCTTTACCCAAACTCCTTCCCACAACACTCAGCTTCACATTTTTGTAGGTGTGTTTAAAGTGCACTATAGTCCTGCTCATAGTTCCAATAAAATACTGGGGAGTGAAAGGAATCAATGGGATTTTTAAAATGTAGGAAAGAATACTCTTGCATATGATGCAATTCAAGCTACACGCAGTCCATACAAAAATAAGTCATTCAATGACGGCAGCTTCTTGGAATCTTTGTACCCTACAGCCTCTCAAAAGCTGTATAGTCCATTTGTTCAAAGAAGAGCTCTTAGGCGACATATCTCACTCCTTTGATCTTCTGAACTTCCCTTTTTATGACAGCATTTTACACTTTGTTGACAACTAAGATTTACTCCATTTGGCGAACTCTATCCCTATCTAAGTTGGACTACTGAGGAAATAGAGGCTGGAGCTTTTGTTCGTCCCACCCACCCATCATACTCTCATATTGTACTCTCCCCAAGTGCATCATAAATGGTAATAATTAACATCTTTGTCATTTGCCTGCTAGCTGCTTGGAACCTTTGTCGTCATCCACGTGTAATTGCCCACATCAACTCTGTCTCCAACTTTGACCAACAGAGCTCTTCTTTGAATGTACAGACTATACATAGGTATCTATGTATCAGCTTCATTCATACTTAATACTTTGAACTTTGATTTAAAAAAAAAGTCCCAATCTTGAAACTGTAGTGAACCTATAAATATGACATCTTTTTTCTTTGTTTGTTGTAAAAATAGAACAGACTCTTCTGCCTTTCAGAGGAACAATTCATCAAAACCAAGGATATTTTTGCTTATGAATTCATTCTGACACAGCACCAAAGAATCAGGAAGTACTTAGTACTTGCTATTTCTCTTGTGCAATCAAAAAATTGAACTGACTCATTCTCTCAGAACATTAACTAAAGTAATTTTTTTTCTCATTATATTTTGACCCCAATAAATGCCTTACTCATAAAACAAGGGAAATTTAGTAGGAGGCTCAAGTGTTTCCAGCTCTGCCAAGCAGCCTGATCAGTTTCTTCCTATTTTAACTCAGAGGGAACTGAGCAAACCAGCCCCTGGCCAGCCTTGGTCACTTCCAAATTCCAAGACAATGGATGGTATAGTTCTTTGTTTCTTTATCAATTCAGCCATCTGATTCAACTGAAAACTCAGCATTCCTGAATTCAAACAGTCTGGAAATGCCTGTCAGTCAGTCATTTGTTACAGTTACAGATCAGCTGACATGCAGAGTTCAGAGTCAGATGAACATGGCAGTCCTCTCGATGAGTGACAGGAGGAAGGGATTGATGCATATCAAGTTTTGGAGGCAGGATAGGGCAATCCATTATGTATGAGAGGTTGCCTTATGTGCTTGAGGTGTAGCATATGGTAGGCCTAGGCCTCCAGCTGAATTAAACAAAGCCATAGATCTCTAGGCTCGGATGTCAAAGTTGGATTCATTTCATCAGCTGCTACATGACAAAAAAAATTCTTAAGCTGTTATCCCACTAGTCATAATGCTTGCTGCCATAAGTAGCCCAGACCCACAGATCAACTTTCTAACATATATATATATTCACATCAGAAATCATGAATATGAAATACTGATAAATATTATAGTAACTGGAAATTTTCATCAGAACAGTCATACTAAAAAATAATATTGTACTTAGTGCAGCATGAAGTTTCTTCAAACATTAGAAGCCTCTGAATCTAGGCACTTGGGAAGAGTCAAATCTAAGCCTGATTTGTTTTACTCTGCAACTTTCATTACAGGATAGGGAAGGTTAGATTCCCCCCCCCAGCTTCCATTAATAGGAAGTTCTGAAACTTTATCCAACATTTAGAAACAACATTATTGGCATACACCCTTCTCAGATTAAATCTAGATGATCCATAACAGAACATGACTCAGAGTAGATTACCTAGTGGAGAATATTCACCAAGAAGACTCATTAAGGAGGATTGAAAAAATCATCAGAAGGTCTGGCATGTGGCCATTTCCATTGGAAGTGAGATGCTAGGTGGTTGCCAAAACATGTCTCTTGGATACAGAGACTGATGCAAGGCACTCAAAATTAGGCAGAACAGCTGTAAGGTGTTCATGATGAGAGGCAGGGATTTTAAAGACCATCCACTCAGTTACCTTTGATATAAAATGAGATGAAGGTTCATTAGCAAAAAAAATTTACGGAGAGGAATATCAATGGACACCATAAAATAAGTAAAATTAACCAACAATTTCACACTTTTATCTTTAGCCTTTTTTAAAATATCATTTAAAACAATAATTTCCTCTAGGTTCCTGGGCATAGCTACATCAGTAATATGCATGTCTGAGATGCTGAAAATACTGGTTCTGGGTCATTCCTTCAGCTATTTCCTAACAAATCCAGTACAGCAGTTTTAGAGCAGTCAGCTATAAATTCATTTAAAAAGAAACCTTGATATGAGAAAGTCACTTCAGCAAGATTCAAAAGCAAAGATGCAAGAACCTGGCCAGATTTGTTTTTGTGGGGGTATTATACATATCCATAATTCTCTAGAGTTTCCTTATAGCAACAGTCCCAAGGAATCATGATCTAAAGGCTACTCTTCTGAAGCCTACAAACAAGCATGCACTAGTTACTCAGGAACAAAGGAATACCTCAGTTGTCCACAATACACATACAAACAATAGCATCAACCAAGTATGAAACATGGACAAGGATCTTAGAACCTTGTGACTTGGTTTCAAAAGCAGGGAAACTGTTTTGAAAATGGTCTGGACTTAATACTGGCACATAAATGGACTTCTCCTAGATCTTTCAAATAACCTCATGATTTTTGTTGCTTGCATTAGCTTTTTTCCATCTGGATACAATTCTATCTCAATACACAAACTCACCAGAGAGGGGTAATTTCTTTCTCACCTTCAGATTGATATATTTTTCATTTTCCACTGAGAAGCAAATGTGCAACATTTCCCTGCTACCTTGGCAACTTGGAAAACAAGCAGAAATATAGGATTCTCCTTATCAACATGTTTTCAAACAACTAGATACTAACTTCACACTTCCAGATTGTCTGTTTAGAGGAAATTTTCCTTCAAAATGACATTCATTCCTGCAAATTACAAGCATGTATCCTGTCATCCAAGTTTCATGAGGAATGAGAAAGTTCATGAACTGCACATTGTGTAACTGAACTGTAAAAGGTATCAGAGTGCAATTTGGTGTGTCAGCAGCTTATAAGTGGTTTGTGTGCCATTTATGAGTGGTGCAACTCCAGATGACACAATATCAGGAGTTACACAACTCATAATGCACTGTCATCAATGTATATAAACATTTAATAGCAGTGAAATGAATCTGTTAATTGAATTTTGGTAATAGCGCAAATAAAAGTTAGTGTTCATTTTGGAAAAAGTGTCAGAGAATCTGCTGTTTCCAAGTGGCATTATTAACCCTGTCCTGAAGATGCTGTTGACATGTTGACAATTTTTTTTTTAATTCACTGTTGACATTCACACCCATATTCACATTCTGAAAGGCTGTCACCACCAACAACAGACTAAAACTATTCACATATTGCTGGTAGAAAAATCATAGACTGATATTTTATCAGGTTGCTGAAACAGAATTGTGACTATTCAACAATCCTGCCTTAAGCAGGCATGAATAATCAAATATTTTCATCTTTTATGGGTTGCTGAGAGAGAGAGTTCAGATCTTTAATTATGGATTTTTCCAACTGGCCACTAGTATCTTGTGAACTGGTGTCATGCTATTTGGAAATGGCAAACTCTGTTATACCTTTATACAAAGATGAAGGCAAACTTCAATTGCACATCATTACTATACTTTAAGCAAAAAGTAATTCTCACTGCTATTAAAATGTCTACATCTATGGAAGACAGCACCATGTCATCAACAGTTACACCACTCAAAAATGACACAAAAACCACAAGGAGGCAACTGACTAAACACACATAGTTACACCCTGCTATCTTTTATGGTTCAGCCACACAACACTTGATCCAAACTTGGTTCCCCCATGTACAGCATAAGCATGTGTCCTTCCATCATAAAACATGCAGAATCCCTTGAATCATACACCTACTATCTCAGATTCAGTGATTGGAAAATCAAAGCCTCCAAGTCTCTTAACCCATTGACATATGATTTAATTTAATAATAATAATTATTATTATTTTAAAAACTAAGTTTTACATGAGAAAATGGTCTCAGAGCCCATGAAATGGAAGCAGAAACCACTAGTACAAAGATAAACGCATGCTCTTGCTAGATAGCACAATAATTTTAGCAACATTTCCATTGAGATTGAAAACAATGGTGAGAAATGTGATGACAAGCAGCCCTCACCATTTCAAGCCAATGGTTTAAGAGGTTAAAAGAAAACAGGTAGATAGAAGAGACTGCCAATAATAAAAAAAACCAAACAAATATTATGAACCATGTGGTGCAATGGTTCAAAAGAGACCTCAAAAGACCTTTGAGAAGGTAAGATCAACTACATATTTCCTTTGCACTTATAATGAACCCACATTGGTTGGCGCCCAAGGATCACAGAGTATCATTATGTTTGACACAGACCTATATTTTGTCCAATAAACTTGGGAAAGAATGAAGGCAACATTCTTAAAACTTGAATTATTTATAAGAGCTATTTTTTCAAGTTTCTTCAAGCATCAAAACTGAAATAAATCAGTTTTCACACTTAACCTAGGCTTACAAACCTCCATGAATTGGTCTAACAGAGCCATGCTTTGTCTTTAGCAAACTGCAGCATTAAGATCAGAGGAACTTCACATGGGAGACATGACATTTCATAAAGGAAATCATCCAGAAAATATTTTAGAGGGGATTACCATAGATGAGGACAACAGACTCTTCAATGGAAGTCTGGTATGAGAACTGGGATTCCAAGAGTTGAGGGCTAAGAAAGTTTGCCATTTGCGTGCTCTGGTACCAGCCAACATGTAGGTGGTCAATGTTCACCTTCCGCAGATTCCGCATCATCTCCAGCTGGTAGTCCTCTGGTTAAAATAAAAATAAAAAGAATGGTTTCATCTGGAAATTTTGGAGGCAGTCCATTGGTTTCAATCAGCAGGTTAGACTATAACCTTCATCCATGTTGTCATCAAGATGTCTGGGGAATGGGAAGCAGTTGGTGATTTCAAGGACACTATCAACCACCAAACCCAGCAGAACTCCTTGTGCAACCTCCATGTTTCCAGCACCTTCTTCTTCACAGTGTTTGATGACCTTCATCACTGCCTGTAGGTGAAAAAAAAAAATACGATAAGAGCAATCCTCTGCAATCTGGTAAAAACATCTCTCACAAACATCAAATGATAAAAAAAACACACTCCATCTAAATTGTCTCATTTGTCTAGATAGTACATCATCTTGTGTAATCAGTGAATAGTCTCAACTGTTATGAGCTCAAATGGATGATTAGGATACTATAATGCCAAAGTTACTTACTTTGTTAAATCTGATCCTAATGAACTATAGTTGTCCACATGACCCACTTTGATCACATAATGTAACTGGGACTATATGGATCACTTAGGATTGCTTGGAGAGAACTTTGCAATTAATTTAATACAAAGAAATTTACAGTTTCTTATCGGGCAGCATGTGAATTCAAAACCATCTAGGCATGACAAAATCTATACTTCTGTATTCTATAATCCAATGGCTCTTGACTTGTGTGAAAATGAGCGCATTCTAATTCCCACAGTCTACCTTGGAAAGAAAGTCATAGTATTCACAGAATAGGAAGAAATGACTTTGCTTCAGTCAGTTCTCACAATAAAAATACTGATTATGGTACTGATGTCCTTTATTTTACATGGCATTTCTATGATAACTTGGAAAACTTCTGTTATCTACACAATGTTTCCCATCAAAGGATAAATTTTTGCATGAATCTTCAAAATCAATGATTCATTACCAGTATTCATTCATTACCAATATCAACATGGACATGTCACTTTACCAGTAATTTCATGCATCTACATGGCATACATGTTTCCAAATCTGCTGCTTTTCTTTCCTATTTTTTTTTACCCAGCATGAGCATGCATTAAAGGTCCTTCTAGGCAGTATTTGCCCCTCTTCTTTCCCCTTCCATCCTTTCAGCACATTCTTCAGAGAATGTACAAAAGCAGAGAAGAGAGATGTGAAGGAAAGCATGTTCAGCTAAGGGGATTGCTCTTGCCAGTACTTCACTCATCATCTGGTAGAATGTAAATAAACTTCAGTAAGTGTACTCCCTCACAAGGAGGTACCTCACTACACAGGCAAGTTCATCTTCAGAATCATTTCTCTCCATTATTATAATATATATACAGCAAATGCTGGATTTTCAGCTGGCAGGCAAGCCTCACTCTCCAGAAGAGTCATATGAAAACTACTTTAGCAAACAAACTGGAGCAAAAAGCTTTCCTGAACAAAGAGAAAAGTACAATAAGAGCCATTTCGCTTAATGTATCTATAATGAAGACTTAGGCTTATTAGGCTATGAAAAGCATACCAAAGAATCTATTTGAACAAGGTCAATTGGTGAATCTACAGGTTGCATCCGTCGTGATCCTCTCATTGCCATCTTAACAGAACTTCAGTTTTTCTTGTGCGTAGTCAATCCAAATTGCTAAGCCTTGCAGCTCTTAATCACAGCACAAATCTGAAACAGATCTATCATGACAGGACTGAGAAAACTGAGGATTTGGGCTAGGCTAGTTTTACCAAAAGGACTTATTCATAGGTCTAAACTTAGACTTACATCAAGCCTGCTTAGGGTCATGCCTATGCCTATAGGTGTACCCGGAATGGCAGGATTTTTCAAGCCATTGATTTTCACCAATGCTTAGGCTTACAGTTTTAGCTAACACCCAAACAGATCCTATACATCATTTCATTCCTAACTCCCATTCCAGGACTGTTGGCCCTATTTACCTTCCTTCTGCCACTTTTTGATAATGTAGCATGCTGTTCCTTGACTATATCTAATGTTTCCCCTGTGTGCCTACAATAAATTTGATTTAAAAAAAAAAAATCAATCAAAGCTGAGGTGGGATTCAAGCCACACCTTAGAGAATGGATATTGGATGCATTCAGAGCAGTAATCCCAACTAAGCAGAGTGGCAAAGCATTCAAAAAGACTATAAGTAATGTATGAAAGGCTGTAGGGAATGAGAGAAAATGAAATTTTAAAAAAGAAAACCAACACTTAAAAAATAATAATATTCTCCTAGAAGGCTTAGACATTGTACATGTTGAATATGCACCTTTAAAATGATATATTTGTAATCTCCAATAATAATGAACTTGACACCAAATTTTTCTGTTCCTGTAAACGTGGAGATCTCCAGATTTCAATGAACCTTGAAACTGTATCAAGCAAAAGATTCTTCTTCACTTCTAGGTAGACCTGTGATAGCAAGATAAGATTGTAAGACTGCTTGCTTGCAAGGTTGATTGGGTCACCTGGGAAAAACCTGTGTAACTTGTTCCCATGTGCCTAAGAATGTATATAGAAGTTCAGTACAGCACTTTCTTCCAGTTTCTTCTGTGCTGTGCATATTGGAGGTGCCATGACTACTAGAAACCTCAAGGTTTGACAGTAAGAAATACCTAATCAGCAAGCTTGAGCACCAGAACAACTTCCCCAAGACTGTCCCTCTGGGTTGTCAGAGCTCTGCATTTGAAATGCATATGTCCAGTTTGGATGAAAGCAGGCAATTACATGCATTCACTGGGAATGTGAATTCACTCCCAAGAGGTCACACTTCCATCAGAAGCTGGATCTTATCCAATTGGGCAGAAAAGAAAGAGTGGAAGACAAGGAATGCTACCTCTGACCTACAGGTCCACTAAACAAGAAAGCATTTGGTCTTATTTGATATGTGAAATGTGACATTTATTAGGTGTATGTCAATTAAGTTAGGTCATTTCATGGAATCTGGTGAAAATATTGAGTGAGAAGTCAAGTCAATTCATCAAGTCAGGTGGTAAAGGTAATTAGAATCTGGTAATGCTGAACAACAAATTAGAGGTTTATTCCTGGCTATTTCAGATCAGAGTGGGCATTTAGATGACCTCACACCACATGTACAAATTTCACTTGAGTTCAAGCATTTCCCCCCTTTTTTAAGACACCCATGCGTGGGAAGTTCTAATGCATCGGCCTCAGAGATTAGTGAAAAAGAGTCGGACTCAACGGAAAACATCGGCGAATACACCTAACGTTAGGCCTTGGTTATCGTGGGTCGTCCACTGCTGCTCCTTTGAACAGTCAGCTAACCAAGGCAAAATGAGCACGGTTTTGTTTCCCTTTACACAATACATTTCTCATTATCCTTAAGTATAGTATGCCTACACATGAGAATTAATATTCCAGGTCTGGTGAGCAAACCAAGGAAGGCCTAGCGACTGTCAAACCTGTGAGGCATGTGTTACAGTAAAACGATTTGTAAATGAATTTGGATCGCCTTTTAAGGGTTTCATACTCCAGATGTCGCTTCTTCCATAGGAGATATCCCCTCATCTCCTTAAGCATCACAGGAATAACACAAATGATACTTGCATCATTATTTTCACTTGGGCATGGTGGCAGGAATTCATTCGCAAAGTGCCACATTACCACCTACAAAAACCACCACTCAACGTTAGTGCTCCATTTTCACCATGCACCACGCTTCCACGTTCTCGGAGAGGGAACAGTGTTGCTAGATATGCACCACATGCTCTCCTGTCAGATGATTCCTCTACCTTTCATAAATAAAACAAAATCTTCCTGTCGACTCTTGACGTTAAGACTTTTGACAAAATGACAGTCACACTTGAGGCTGTGTGCTTTGCGAGAAGACGGTGTGAATATTCACATAACCGCCTCAAACTTTGGAAAACGGAAACCAAATGGGAAAAAATTATGGCAAACGGAAGGACACCCACATCAAGGCCGTATTTAGGGGGGGGTTCATGGGGTTCAAACTCCCCCCGAAATATCTTCCTTAAATGTTTGCCATACTGCCATTCGTCGGTGTAAACGGTGCAGTACTTGGTCTTTTCTATCTTTAATAGCTTATGACTTATTAAACACTGCAACGTACAGGAAAGTTTAGATGTCACAAAGACTTACAATGACAAATATTAAAAAAATAGCCACAGCACCTACGCTAGACCTCAACCCCCCCCCCCCGAAATGAAATCCTAGATACGGCCCTGACCCACATCCTCTTCGAAAAAGACGGAGAAACGTGCAAAATCTGGATTCTTCCTGTGGATCCTTCGATGTTGCAGCCTCCCGAAGCGGACATTCCCAGAATCATCTCTAATCGATTCGACAAGTATACATCAAAGCAGGGCATCTTTTAATGTGCAGTTGTAACATATCTGTGCAGTTCTGAATTGACATTTTTGCAACTGGGCAAGAATTGCATTTTGAAACAAAAAATTTGGAAAATAATATAAAATTCTCAACTTTTTTTTTAGGCGCTTGAACATTGAATAAATTAAGAGGAGGGAGCGCTTAGCGCCGTAATAACCACGCCTACAGAGGGGCTATAATCATTCGTGCCGTTCTAATTTTATCTCTCGTAATATGCCCTGCTTCAAAGAAAAGAGGCGGAAAGAAAGGATCGGAATTCACAATATTAGCTGTCTCACTTTATTAATCTCGCCGGAGTCTCATCCAAGACATTTCAAGGTTTCGTAGGGAGGTCAGGAGGCGTATCCGCCCGTTATGACGTTTCGTGTCGAGGTCAAGTGTACTAATCGTGAGACAGGTCTACTCCTTTTAAAGATAGGTTTTTTTAATTTTTTTTTGGAGTATAGCCACCTACTGCTTAGTCGCTTAAAGCTACGATGTCCCTCTTTGGTTTTGTTCATAGAGGCACGAAGTCTCTTCTTAAAGCTAGTCACGGTAAGGGCAGCCACTACATCGTCACTTAACGCATTTCACACGTTCGCTACCCCTACAAGTAAAGAAGTTCTGTCGTAACCTGTGCCTCACCTGGGGTCAGGGCCGTATCTAGGATTTCATTTCGGGGGGGGGGGGGGGGGGGGGGGGGGGGGGTGTGTGGGNGGGGGGGGGGGGGGGGGGGGGGGGGGGGGGGGGGGGGGGGGGGGGGGGGGATGTGGTCTGGCGTAAGCGCTGTGGCTATTTTTTTATGCCTGTCATTGTAAGTCTTTTTGACATATCTGGATTTTCCTGTAAGTTGCAGTGTTTAATAAGTCATAAGCTATTAAAGATAGAAAAGACCAAGTATTTCACCGTTTACACCGACGAATAGTATGGCAAAAATTTAAAGAAGAAATTTCGGGGGGGGGGGGGGTTTGAACCCCCCCCCCCCTAAATACGGCCTTGCCTGGGGTTCTAGCAACTTAAGTCGGTTTCCTCTCGATCTGCTAACATCGAACTGGAAAAATCTACTACCTCGCTCTACGTTATCGATACCCTTAATGATCTTAAATATCCTGGATGGGGTCCACCTTCGCTAGCATACTCTCGCGTAATTACAATTCTAACGCTTCTAAGCGGCGCTTCTCATACGTCCCCTCACTTCTTTGATCATTCTTGAGGCCCACCTCTGGAGCCTCTCGAGCGCCGTTAGTTCCACTTTATTTGTAGGCCTCCAAAACTGAACGCAGTATACTTCTGGTGGGGTCTTACCAGCGCCGCATATAACGGAAAAATAACGCTCAAGCGTTTGCAGGGAATAGAACGTCGGATGAAACCTAGAATCCTGTTACATTTAGTTATCGTAGCTGGCGCGTGCGAGAACTTGGAGTTCCCTCATCTATATTAAGCCTAATCAATGAATGTTTTCCTCCTCCAGCTTATCAACGCCGAATTCGTTCAGACACCTATCATTATTACGATCGATGTGAAAAACCTTACACTGACTTTTATTAACCCTTTCCGGTCTACTGGCGGACATAATCTGACCATCTCCATCAGGGTCGCCCAGAGGTTTCCAGGGGCCAGGGGCAAAACTAAGCCGTAGACTCCTTGGGGGCCCCTTTGAGGCCCTTTGGAGGCCCCCTTAGGACCTCTTGCTACGTGGGGCCCGGTGCAGATTGCCCCAATTGCCCCCCCCCCCCCTCTGGGCGGCCCTGATCTCCATAGCGTTACAAATAAAATGAACCGGAAAGGGTTATACCGCACGAGTCATTCCTTACTCCATTCGCTCAAAAGCTTTATATCCTGCTCGACTGTCCTGTCCTTCAAGCAGCAGGTAGCAAAGAAATGGCTGAACGAGAAACCGTTCCATGTTGGCAGTTTATATTGAATCGAAATCGTGCAAAAGCAGAGCGTAGATGGATATTTTCATCCAAAATTGATGGGAAGAAGAGGCGCATCTAATCCGAGGAGAGAGGTATCGGTCCGACGCCTTTTTCCCCTTGAGAGTTTCAGAACTTCTGAACAAAATTGCATCTAGCCCACTTAGCGTATATCATGATTATATTGAATATATCTAGCGTCTTTTTCACCCATGGCAACTGCGTTGTTGCACACAACTCTCATGAATTGCGATTCGGAATCGGATGAACGAGCAGCTACTTTGCACTTTCCTGAGCACTTTACTGGTGGTAAAGGAGCCTGCTAAATGTTAGCGCTTGCAGGCACTTGCTCATGCTCAATGCAGACGGTGAGGCCGGCCTTCCCGCAGACGTATACTAACCACTGTATCGCGTGTGCAACCTGATACCACAGAGGCGGGTACGAAATTTTTCATAGGGGGGACGGTTCCCTACTTCCTACCGACCCCTTTCCTCCCCCCCCCATTCCACCACTCCCAGCACTATCGCTTTTTTCATTTCTCGTCTGGGGTAAAAACTAGAATATCTATTTCACTGGCCCCAATAAAAATTAATGTAGAAGCTATTTTTTTTTTAATGGAAAAAATAGATTGGTAACATGGCCATAGGGGGGACGGTCGCCCCCGGCCGGATACCCACCGCGTTTCTCGGCAGGAGTCAACTGTCAGAGACCGAACTTCGCTCATTTTGCGTCGATGGAGAATTAGGGTTAACATACGTTCGGGTATTTTCCATGGACATTTCCTCTTTTTTCGCCTTCAAATTTCCATTCGACTGCTGGGCGTCCTCTTTTTGGCTGTCCAAATAATGGAAACCCTATGGAGAATGAGTCCGATTGCTTTCAGAGATATTTCATTGGGCGGAGCCAACGTTGGCAGTAAGTAAAGTATGGCAACCTTTAACCCACTTAATACTACAGAGGCTCTTTCCACAGATTCTTGTATCTCATACTCTTGCGTTAATATTCTTAGTGGGGCTTTTTCTACTAGTGCAGGTTCATATCGATTTTTGAAGGTCAGAGGGTGGATTTTTTAACATAGCATTATCCAATAATGCAGCTTTAAAAGAAAATGTATTATAAATCCAGTAAATAAAGCTGCATTATCAGATAGTGCTGTTCAAAAATCCACCCCGAATGTCGAAATTGGAGGCATAGCTCATCAATCAATTGGCAATGGCAGCTATAACTATAGATGCAGACTCCAAGAATTAGCCAAGATCCCCATGTCTAAATCTTCCCACCACATCAATTTGCAGTACCTAATTCAATATAGGAAGGAAGAAATTGGAATGCTTCTTAAAATATTTAGACTTAAAGTGCTTAATAGTTACTACATAGCACTACATGAAGTGGCCCTCCATGAAAATCAGGAAAGAGCTACATGAGTATATGAATGCAAAAATATTATTCAAGAAAAACAAACATAAATAGCAAACAGAATTCTCTGAAAAATCTGGGAAAAAGAGAAATACAAGGATCAACCAAAAATTTATTATAATCACCCTTGAATCAAACAAAAATATTTTCTTTGAAGACTCTCATGAGGGAGAGGATGGAAGTCCATGTCTTCCTCCATTCCTGTCTCTTGAGAATTGCAGCTAGTGCCCTACAACATTTTTCACTTCCTTCTCACTCAATGCCAACTTCTTTCCAACAACTAGAAGAGGAAAAGATATATTACAAATTCAAGGATGACAATATAAACAGAACTAACACAAAAGTTTAAAAATCAAAATCCAGTCTGCTTGGAATCAACCATCAATCAACCTTAGCAACAAATTAGCAAATAAAACAATTATGAACAAGTGGAAAAGTTCAATTCTTGAACTTTGAGGTAACAGCAACCTCGCATCTGGAACTTCTTTATCAATCTCCTCTTTGGCTGAAACCAGAAACCTCAATATTTTAGTCCTCATAAGTTTCCTTATGAGGACATTCAAGGGGGGAGGGCTACTGTTGACCCATACATCCAAAAAATTTTTTTGGAAAAGACTACACTTGTTACAAACCACTTGTGCCTATAATTTATAATTTCATTACTCTCAAGAAGACTCCACAAAAAAACGAGGAAAATATATTTCAGCCACAAAAGTTGATGCACCAAAGGTAATGACATCATTGACCTGAAGCTAATGTCAACTTTAAACAATGCTTTCTTTTTGGAGCATCAACCTACTTCAGATGGGGAGACAACCATATCAGTTAATAGGTATTGGTTAGAAGAGACACCTCTTGATAACGAGTATACAAATACTCACTGAGTCAGCAGCACAAGCGGAATGATCCATGCTCAACAGTTCTTCATAGTGTTGAAGATTATGTAACTTGCTCAGAGGACTCTGCATGGGCATGTCTTATGCAGCTACTACCATTGGTGAGATGTCAATATTGCTTCATGCATGTTGGTTCTTTTCCATCAAGATCACCCACTGATCGATTTCTTTCAGCTTTCAGATGATCAACTCCAGGAAGCCTGAAAGCAAGAATAAACTTGTGGTTATTCATTTTGTGCATAGCACATGAAAACAGACTGAAATTTTAAAGAAAGGATTAAATTAAGTATATTTCAATAGTAGCTCAAAATGTTCATATGTTAAGATAAAAATAATTTCTCATTTGAAAAAGTAACTCCAATCAAATATTCCCATGAAATAACCAATTAGCATTCATTCCAATCAATAATGTTTATTCACAGGTCTTTTTATTTCCAAGATTTCTCCACAGAGCACATAACCTAAGATATATTACTTTTGGGATAGGCAGAAAGATATATGGCAGAATGCAAACTAATGAAGCTCCTGATCTCTTATTTTTAAGAGCATGATGCCCTTAGCCAATTCAGGAATCAACTTCTAGTTGAATGGATGCATTCTGAACTACATATTAAAAGCAATATATATGATATACCAATCCATAAAAAAGTGCTTCCACAACCTTCTTGAGTGGATATGGTCTCTTTGCTCAAAATTTTCCAGCGATCATGCAAAATTTTATATCACTGGAAAGCCCTCTTTGTATCTTTTAATTCAATATACAAAATATGAGAACTCTTGGCGTTTCAATAGTCATCAAGGGGAGATGAAAGGTTCCATCCCACCTACTTTTTTCCACTGCTCTGGGTTATTTTTGGATTGGTGTGATATTGAGAGAGCTCCTATGGTCCTCCTGCATCTGGATTGAGAGGATTGACAGATGGTTCACACAAGATGGAGAGACCAATTCCTCTCTTCCCTGAGCCTTGCCCTCACATGAGTTGAGATATGCCAAGCTGGTTTCACCTCCATGAGAAACTGGATAGGGAGAGAGCATCCAATATGAAGTGCTTATAGAAGGCTGAAGATGATGTGAAGCCTATTTGGCCTTCAGTTTGGAGTCCAGATGGGGGCTTGGAGGAAATGAAGAGAGCTTACTCTGAGATTATGAAGGGAGCTGGATAGGTTGAAGAACTGTGTGGCATCAGGTTCTCTAGTAAATCTACACATGGGGGTCTTGGAGGATAAGGCAGGCCCCCCTCAAGATAGTTTCAGTATCTTAACTTCCATTTGATGACTCTCCTACTGTTGGAACCTTCTTGTGCAATTTTTGTTTCATTTCCAGCATGGACATGGCAACTTCTGAGTTTTGGCATGTTTTCTTCATCTATCCTTTGTGAATTGAGTTTGAAAGGGAATAAACTTGAGATAGAGAAACAGTGATTTCCTGGTTCCCATTAGTAAATAAAAGGAAAACCTGAAATGAATATATTGCTGGCATATCTGACATCACAAAATGCCACTTTCAACTTGGCCTATGAAAAGCAATAATGTCTGCTGCCTGCCTTGAACCTGCTGTGCTAGCAGGTAGACCTACTGTATATCAGCATGGATTTCCAACTGCATCAGAAACCAGCAACAATATGAATCTGTTTTACTCACAATTGTCAGAAACATAAAGTCCCATTGTAAGAAATAACATTCATAGGCTCCGCACTTGCTCTGTTATCATGGTGAAGATTTACTTGAGCTGGCTAAATAAATAAAAAAAAGGTGCACCATTAGTGGTCTAGTCTTGAGCAATGCATTGAGAGCTATAAAGGAATTGGTCTAGACAGTGAAGGTTGACCAGGCACTGAAAATCGGGAGATAAACTTTGGATTCAATAATGCTTTTTACCACCACCAGGTTAAGCACGCAGTGAAGCATAGCAGGACCCAACCCCATGTTCTTAATTTAATTGCTGTTGGCGGGCTCAGGAAAATAGTCAAATTAAATTGACCTACATAGGCAAATAACCACGAATGACAACCCTACAGTGCTTTTGCAGTGAGTTCACACAAATCCCATTAGTGCACTGGCACTACTGATGTTTACTGACTCTAGGGGCACCTACAAATACTAGTTCATGCTGTACATAAAACCAGTGGAAATGTTTGTTCCGCTGGTGTCGGTAGGCCCATAAAAAAAAAATTTTATTACAACGGTTTTACAACTCTCCGCGTAAACAATGAAACGCCACAGGACATAAGCCAAAGTGTAAGTTCACATGGTTAGCCATTCTTAAACACCCATTCAAATTTTATTGCTGAGGTAATAGGTACCTTTAACACCGCGCAACGAATCTGTAACAGAGGACCTCTATAGGACCGCAGAACTACAATCCGACTTCCTTATCCTGGCGGCTACCATCTTTAGAGGAAGTCTAAAGCTACGCAATACCGTATGCCCACGTTGGGCTCACATTGGGCCAACATTGTTCCCCAGCATTCACATTCCACCCACGTTTCTCACATTTACCCAAGGTTTGGCCAACGTTGCATGTTATCGGAGTATAAGCACTGTGGTTCAATGAGTATTATATGGAAGTAATGTATGTGGGAAGTCGAACAAATAATGTAAAACTGGAGAAAGGAGATCAAGAAACTAAGTTTTTCAGAGGACAATGAAAGGGGAAGTAACGGAAGTAAGCCTTAGTCACTGGAGGCGGAGCGGAGTTTCGTAGCAGCAGTTGGCAACATTTTTTTCCCTTCATCTCTCCCAGGTCTGCGGCTACGGGTCCTTTCCTTGCGAGATCGAACGTGTATTGCGTTGGTAGTGTGTCTTCTTTCCTGAGTAGAGCTATAAACAGGGTCACGAAAAGGCATTCGATGCCTGTGGCCATTCTGATGTTTTCGGATGATAAGTTGCCGTAAATCATCCGAAACGTTGTGTAAATACATTTCCACAACTATTCCCATCGGCCTGTGAGTGAAAACTTCTGATAAACCATCAGAGGGGAGGGGGTGTATGCAAGATGTAAAATGTCTGTAGGTTAGAAACAGCTTAGGCCTACCCTCGGATAAGCTAAGTGACAAGTTATAGGTTTACGGCAGACCATTCGGGTACCAGAACAAAGTGGACGTCTGGATGACCTTGCATCGCAATGTATGGTTTCACTGGAGTTCTACATTTCTTCTATTTATGCTGACGCCTACACATGTTGAATGCTAAAGCATTAGTTGCGGAGTTTAGTGGAAAGAAAAGCCAGATTCGAGGTTATCATTACCGAGTAAAAAAACTCATTAACGTTAGTAATACATTTTCACTGGGTGTCAGGCTTCCACGTTCTCGAAAGGGGACAGTGTTGCAAGATATTAAATTCATTTTTTCCCATTAAGAGGTCTAGATCCGTGGAGAGGAACAGTCTGGTATGGTATTGCTGGAGTCTACTTCTGGTACAGTACATGTTACAGTTACAGGGGGGTGTTACAGTTTAATGTGATGGAATCCTATAAAGCTATGCATTGAATTGGAGATAAGGCAGGACTTGAGAGATTAACTGAATGCAGGTTCTCTTTGAGAGCTTAGCCTGGCTGGTAGGCTTAAATAATAATAATAAAAAATATTCAATCCCCTATGTTTCTTTTGTTTTTGGGAAGTTCTGGGAATATATACATCATTTCTTTGGCTAGTGCCGTATTTGTGGATGTCCAGGTTCAAGGGAAGCTTTCTTGATGTAGTTATTGATGGGCATGGGATAAGCACAAGACAGGGAAATGTCACTATCCCAAGATATTCAAAGAGGGGCTTGCATGATTCTTTACACTGCATAGACATGATTGTTTGAATGGATCACTTTTGTAGATAGAGTGCATGGAAGACATTGGTTGTTGTTGTCAATCCCATAGCCAATATTTCATGAGATTTATGACTGAGAATATAATAGTAAACCTTTAAGGGAGAGAAGGCTTCATAGATTTGGTAGATAAGGTTATTATTACCTTTAGCTGACAGCAGACATGTTCCATGTGTGTCCCATTTTAATTTGTCGTTAACATGGACTTCAAGTAGTTTAAGAGAGGTCTGACAAGAGAAAGGAGAGTTTTGAGATTTCCTTTGTTGAAAACATAGTGTTTAATTTTTTTCTATGTCAAGTTTGAGGCTCTTTGCAGTTGTCCACTTCTCAAGACTTGTTGTGCACTCATTTAAAAGTGGTTGCTGATCTAACACAGATCCAAGCAGCACTGTTATGCTATCCATTTATCTGCAAGCAGGAAGAAGTTTCCAAAAGGGAAAAAATTTGGTAGGTCTTTAATGTACAAAAGGAACAGGAGTGGACCTAAGACTGAACCCTATGGGACTCCAACCATGCGGAATTAGACTAGATAGGAATGTGTTTAAAAAGTTTTTTTGTGCTTTTAATGCTGTCCTATCAGAGAGAAAGAGTGATATTGAGGTTTGTGGGTTAGCTCTAATGCCATATTTTTCTGAGTTTCCTGGAAGAAATCCATAGCTAATACTGTCAAAGACTTCAGATATGTCTTACAGCACACCCATGGGAGTATCACCATTATCAATTGCATCTAATACAGAGTGTAGAAATTCTAGGATTGTATGTTGGGTGTTTAAGCCTCTTCTAAAGCCAAATTGTATGGGGGAGAGTTAGCTCATGTGTTCCAGGTGTTTTATACAATCTGATGTGGATGGCTTTTTCAAAGACTTTTGAGAAAGCTGGGAGAATGGTTATAGGTCTGTAATTGGATATTTTCTGGCATGAGCCTTTTTTATGCAAAGCTATCATTTTGCCATGTTTTTGTAAACTTGGGAATATTCCCTCATTGAAGGAGCAGTTAATCACAAGTGAGCACTGGGCTATAATAGGGGCTGCTAAATCTCATCCAGACCATTGCTTTCATGGGAAAAGTTGATATGCACAGGACTTCATTTGAAAGTGGTGTCAAGAAATATAATCATCCTATAGGTGTAGTGAGGTTGAGATAATGAAGTGGGTAGGAGAGATCCAGATGCATATGTGATGCTGGTGTTTTGCTTGTGATATTTAATAAATGGGAGAATATTATATTTATATTGCCCAGGCCTTCTGTTTTGGGACAATGTCTTCATAAAGAGATGATGGGACTGTTTTGCCAAGGATTTGCCGCTTCCTTTTAAGATTCCTTGTGTTCTTAGAGGATAACTAGGTATTTTAACTAAAATTTTTGCTTTGCAAGCTTCACTACTTGTTTTGGAATTTGGAAATACTTTTTGTAACACCAATGCTTGTTTGTTTTGAGAGTGGATTTTCAGGAGATGGTGTAGATTGCATTCATATCAAGCTGATATTCTGATGCCAGTAGATATCCAGGATTTGGATTTAATGGAGTTCTTATATTGAGCCATCTTTGTTAGGAAACTGTTTCTCATGGCTGTCTGGAACATTTTTTGGAAAACAGCAAATTTAGAATCTACCAGAGCGTGGGCCCTGGTATTTTCTAAACAAGGGTCCAATCAGAGGAGGTGAGGGCATCTATAAACTGTTTTGTAGTAGTCTCATTGACCGAGATATTTATTTGGGGGAGCTCAGTGTGTCCACTGCAAGTTCTCCTGTTTGATGATTCCTCTAATTTTCATAAGTAAAACAAAATCTTCTGTCGACTCTTGACAGATTGACAGTCACACTTGATGGCTATGTGCTTTGCGAGAAGACGGTGTTAAAATTCATACAACTGCCGCAAACTTAGGAAAACGGAAACCAATTTGGAGAAAATGAAGGCAAAAGGATGTGGGTGGGGCACCTACATCTCCCTCTTTGAAGACGGAGAAACACGCGAAATCTCAATTCTTCCTGTGGATCCTGCAGCCTTCCGAGCGTGCATTCCCAGAATCATCTCCAATCAATTCGACACAGGCTTCAGGGAAGAAGAAGGGGGTGTGGGATTCGTGTCACACGATCGAGGCGGGCCTTTCCCCAGGCAAGGTTCATTTATCCTCTCCTGAGGATTTTGCTCGCTTTCGATTGTGGCATTGCATGGAATTTCTGGCACATACCTCTTTCTCAACCACGAGGCTGCGAGTCATGGTCTCAATTCCCGTATCACAATGTGACTGGATTCTCTTTCCCAGTGACTGGTGCTTCCTGTAAATATCATGCAGCTCTTATTCGTCTTACTCAGTGGCGTAGCCAGAAATTCTCCAGAAAGGAGGCTAACATTTCCCTAACTTCTCCTATGAGGGAAGGGGGGGGGGGGGGGAACGGATACATCTTAACCAAAGTTGGGGGGGGGGGGCTGAAG